AGTTGAAAGAAAAGTTTCAGGCACGAAACACTGGTTAAACTGCCGGGGTCCCATAATTAACTGCGTTCATATACAAAAGAGAAGCTGCGATAGTTCAGTCGGTATAGCGACGGGCTACGGGATGGACGGCCGGGGTTCGATTCCCGATAGGGGCAAGAGATTTTTCTCTATTCCACAGAGTCCAGATCAGCCCTAGGGCACTCTCAGCCTCTTATCCAATGGGTACGGGGGCTCTTTCCCCGGGGTAAAGGAAACCACTCACCTCCATCTAGTGCCGAGGTCAAGACAGCTCTTCATAACACGGCTGTGAGAACCTGAATCCCTGCTATTTCTCTTTAATAAAAGAAATGGCGAGCTTAGGGTCCAGATGTCCATAGAAACAAACGCATACACGAGTAAGTCTTCCCGTAGGCCGCGCCATAGCTCAAGCGGTTAGTTGCTGGCTTCCCACCGCGGCGGCCGGGGTTCGATCCCGGGTCTGGTCAAGTGGGATTTGTGGTGGACAAAGTGGGGCTGGGGCAGGGTTTTTTCAAGTACTTCGGTTTCCCCTGCCAATCTTCATTCCAGCAATTGCTCCACAATCACCCTCACCTATCATCTGGGGCTGGTACAATAGGCCAGAAGTGGCCTCAGTACAAGGGACTTAGTCCCACCCCGCTAGCAATAAAAAAATCTTCCCGCAAGGTGGCCGTTAGATTTATCGTTGTGTGAAAATATTCGTAGTTTTCAACAGCAAATTTGACTAAAATCTGTACAGTGGTCATCAAGTTGTTTCATCCGTAAGGACAACCGGAAGGTGGAGACGAACTTGATACGCATTCTGCAAGGTTTCGAGAAAAGCACATCCATGCCCCGAGATGGAATCAAACTGTCTTATCTAATTCTCATCGATCCTGTAATTATCACGTCATTATGCGAGTGCTCCCAACACTGATACCAAGCTTGCAGATAACCCGAACATTATGAGTAATTCGTTAATCTTATCAAACCAAGTGGTTACTTTATGTACCACCTGCTGTAATACGCTAAAACCCTACGTTGACTTAGGTTTTCAAATTTTACGAACAAAACTGAAACACAGTCGGTAAATCTGAGCAAGAGACAGGCTAGCCAAGTAGAATGGGCTTGGTGATCCCAGCGAAGCAATCTGTCATGTCTCTTTCACTATTAATCCCTTTAGTATACGATGTACCACCTGCTTCAGCGTTTCAGAAGTCTGCAGTTTGCTCACATCGTGTCAATGTTAGGTGGGTCCCTTGTCACCACGGCATGGCGCGTCCTCAGGTTGGGGAGGGAGGAGACGCCCTCCAGGTATGGAGGGAAGCTGCGAAATATTGAATAAGCAGTCGCGGACAGCCGACAAGGGTTGATCCTCAAGCTTGGAGGTTGGGTGTAAGGCTAACAACTGCTCACCGTAAAAAGGTGCTGAGAATATTTGGACCGAAGAGAGATCAAGTGACAGGAGGTTGGAGAAAACTGCATAATGAGGAGCTTCATAACTTGTACTCTTCTCCAAGTATAATTAGAATGATCAAGTCAAGGAGGATGAGGTGGGCAGGGAATGCAGCACGAATGTGGGAGGAGAGGATTGCATATAAGATACTGGTGCGAAAGGCAGAAGGAAAGAGACCACTGTGAAGAGCAAGGCATAGGTGGGTGGACAATATTAAAATGGATCTTAGAGAGAGAGGATGGGATATGTGGCCATCAAGTTCACTGGGACCCTTGATATGAACAGTCTGCACTGAGACATACCATATATTTGAGTCTAAATGTATTTATTAAATACACAAGGGATTACCCATGCAAACACTTTTATCGCATTCTGTTACATCAAAGTCTATTTATCATTCTGAATTTTATCACATTATGTTATGTAATTTCAGTGAATCAACTAATTCATCTTTGTGTATTTCAGGTTCACCAAATGTTGGCACACTTAATATTTGTGCATTTCTCGTGATTCTGTGTTTTGCTCATAGCAATTCAGATGCTTAATCCCATACAGCACAATGCTTACTAATTGTACCACCTACTTTAACATCAAAGAACACTGTATTCTGCTCAGATGGTGTATTTATGGGGTTCACTCAGAATAAATAGGGGTTATTTCCCAAACAGCATTAAATGATAGTCTTTTAATGGAGATGCAGTGTTCGCTGTGAGGTATGAACTGAATTCTTTTAGTGTTATTTACATGAATTCAGTTTTCAAACTCTGACAGGTGCATATCGGTCCGCGAAGTGCACATGGCTTTCAGAATTCCTTATGTGTATGATTACATAATAAAATATTCAGGAAACAGGCAGAAGTCATCCAAAGCAAGCATAAGCGGCATATACTTGACGGTGGTCAGGCCTACAACTGTTCAAGTAACTAACTGCTGTTTCGAAGTGAATGAAAAAACGTTAAGACATAACCTGCTGTACAAGCCCGCATTGACAGATGTCATCTGAATACCTTAAGTAAACGTTACTCATTATGGTAAAGTGAGGAAATTTGTTGTGTGTCCATGAAGTACAAGTAACCTTAGAACACTGAGTGCGTGTGGGTACCAGTTTAAAACAAAAATGATGTTTTTGTGCAGGGTAATGTGGCACAAGCGTGAAGCACACTATTCATTTCCATCTAGTGCTGAGGTCACAAATGCATAGAGCTCTACCTTCACTCTCCCATGCATCTTCATGGCACGGTGCTTACACACAGGAACAGCCATGCCTTCTTACTTTCCCCATGTATGTAGTATGAGAAAGTATCAGGAAAATAATGGCACGTGCACTAAGGGCCCACATGGTTAAGCAGCGCACATGTCTTAATTTGGACAATCAGCAACCAGCAATACTCTATTGAAAAACAATTGATTCCGTTTCCAAAGTAATGTAGTCAAGGCCAATTGTGTATGTGAATTAACTACCTTCATGGAGCTGAGTCCTCTATAGGAAGGTGGCAGTCACTCAGCTATGTGTTCACAAGAGCCCACCACTGGGGGATGAATTCAGTCCATACCACACCATTTTATCTCTCTAAGATCCGTTTTAATATTATACTCCCACCTATGCCTTGGTCTTCCTAGTGCAGTGTTCCGCAACCTTTTTCTACTCGCGGCGCACCATGAAGAATGCATGACTCAACACGGCACACCAAAATGTTATTCCCCTCAAAAACGCATGCTATCAGACAATTAATATAAATACATAACGTGATCAACTTATTACTATAATATTATTATATTGTTATTTTATTATCATTAAACAGAAATCGACTGGTGCATTTATTAGCAATTAATGAACTTTAATTCACTGTAGAGTGTAGAAAATACACTTCTATTACTATTAAAGTAAATACAGTAATTCTACTCATAACTTCAATGTGATACTTGCGCCTGCGTAGCTTCACACAGGCGACTGATCCGTGGTGGAATCGTTGACAACGCAAGTCTCATTTCTTCATCGATGGATTTGAGCTGCTTCCTCTTTGATGTCTTAATTTCTGTTAACATCGATAAGCCCAGTTCACACAAATATGTAGTTGAAAATGGCAATAACACATTAACTGCCATCTCGGAGATAGCCGGGTATCCACTCCTTATTGCCAACCAAAACGTATCCAAAGGCACTTCGAGAAGTTTTAGTTTCAATGTTCTGTCTGCTTTTAAATCTGCGAGTTCCTCTTCTATATTAATCGGATGATGTTCTGAATTCACAACAAATGGATCATGAACCAAGTCAAAATCTTGTACACTGTCTCCAAAATACTTATTAAATTTCTGCTGCAGCATTTCTAAATGTTCTTTAATTGTGTCCATCACCACTTTATTGCCGTCAGCAAGTGTCCATACAGTCGAGGACATCTCAAACGACCCATCTGTAATTCTCTAACTAGCAACCAAAATTTGCAAACTACTTCAGAGCACAGCTGTGATAGAACTGAAAGATTGTAAAACGCAGGATCTCTACTCTTCAAACGGAAGAAGTGACATTATACCGACTTATTTTGGAAATATTTATAATTTTAAATTAAGTCCAACAATCGGTGGGTGCATCGTTACAGGAAGAAAGTCATAAAGTTGAAGAAGCTCTAACTTCTAACAAACGGGCAAATACCGAAACAGCGTTATAAAAGACAGGAAAACCCATGCTAATCCCTGCAGTTTTAGGGAAAAGCACGTACACAGAACATGCGGCAAGCATATCAAAGAAGCTGCGTCAATGCGAGGAAAATAAAAAAAAAAATCAATAATGAAAACTATGATATAACAACAACTGGGTAAATAATTTACGTTTAATTTCTTAGAATACAACATTATGTACATAAAAAACCACAGCATTAATAAAGAATAAACAAGCATCATCTTATTTAATCAGTGCAGTGGCTGAGAATAAAATACAAGCATATGAAACACGGTAACTGGGATAAAATAAAACGAATAAAATTCGACAATTAATTTCTTTCAATAGGTAAAAGTTTGCGTCACACCTTTCACTTTGTGACAGCACACCGGTTGCTGAACACTGTCCTAGTGGACTCTTTCCTTCTGGCTTTCCCACCAAAGTCCTACATGCATTCCTCTTCTTCCCATGCATGCTACCTACTCTGCATATCTCATCCTCCTTGACTTGATAATTTATGAAAAATACAAGTTATGAAGCTCATCATGCAGTTTTCTCAAACTTCCTACCACTTCATCTCTCTTCAGTTGAAATATTCTCCTCAGCACCCTGTTCTCAAATGCTTTCTGTCTCTGTTCTTACCTCAATGTCAGAGATAAAGTATCACATCCATACAAAACTACAGCTAAGATTATACTTTTGCATATTTTAATTTTTATGTTCTTGGGCAGCAGGCAAGAAGACAAAAGGTTCTGAACTGAATGGTAACAACCATTATCAAAATTCAATCTGCTCTTGATTTCTTCATGGATCAAATTTTGATTTGTTATCTGTGTCAGATTTTCAAAGGATTTCAAAATTTGTTATGTCTCTTTTCTTTTTCTCTTGCAGTCAGAGTGTTTGTGTTCTACCTATTCTTCTATATTGGACTGGCGGCTTTCTGGGCAGCCTGCATGTGGGGGCTACTGAACACCATAAACGAGGATACTCCTACGTACACACTAGACAGCTCTATAATTGGATCATCACCTGGTAATCTATCATAATTCCTGTGTTCACGTTTCTACATACTGCTGAAAGCTTGAATGTACAATGACAAATACATTTCTGATAACAGATCTGATACTTCACTAAAGACTAGACAGTCCATAAGCTGGGTGATAAGGTCTGTGATGATGCACATTGCGATATTAAACTGACACACATTGGACATTGTTCATTATCTTGTTCTGGTTTCAGAATCTAGAGACTGGTTCTCTCTTTGAAAATGGACACATATCAGTTGAACCCATTAAGCAGAAATAACACATATAGCTGGATTCTATGTAGTTGTCCCACCTGAGCAAGTCTCTACATGTCTTAGTATTATTTCAACGCTTTTTAGATATATTGGAGGGGCCAACCAGAAATTTGCTTATGAACTTAAGGTTTAAGCCACTTAATCACCCAACAGTATTCAGAGTAGAAGAAATTAGTTTTAAAAATAATTTTAATTGTTAGCATTATTTCATATATTTTTCTTCTTCAGTCTTGATTTTTTCCTAAAAGTCTGGCTTGGGGGGGTACAGGACAGACACCTGTTTATTGTTCTTTGATTCACTGATGAAAGTTTTTGGTTAATATGCATATTGGTCATCTTATGGGTATAGCAAATGATGCTGGCTGGATTTCATTAAGTATATCAAGTGTGTCATGTGAAAACTGGGGAGCAGGTTAATTGTCAGAGATCATCTTAACTTGAAATTGTATGTTGTAGTTTCTCTATAAGCTAGTGCTTGTACTTACTTAAGTACATGGCATATGCTGTTTTGATGGCAGTGTGTATCAGGAAGCAGACTGCATGTGCTGTAATGAATGTGGAAGAAAACTAGCATTAAAATTTATCTCAGGAAAATGGGTTGGGCATATAGAAGGGAATACAACTGGCCAGGTTGGGGTCAGAAAGCATACTGCTAAGAACACGGCAATGAATAACTATCTTCTAGGTTGTACAAATAAAACTGTGTGGTTTTGTAGACAGGTACCAATATTTCAGAGCAACTTCCTGCGCTCATCTTCAGCATAGAAATGTAAGCTGTATGTGGACCTCTCTTCTACCAACCATCTTCCGTTCCTCTCATATTTTCCCCTGATGATCTGCTCTCTGTGGAACTTCCATTTATTAGTGCTGCTACTTCCTATTTGTCTGGTCACATCCATTGCTCCTGTCATTCCTTCTCTAAAGANNAAGATCAGTTGGACCGATTATGTGAGAAATGAAGAAGTGTTAATTAGAGTCAGTGAGCAGAGGAATATCCTACATGAAATAAGAAAACGGAAGGCTAATTGGATTGGTCATGTTTTACGCAGAAACTGCCTTCTAAAAGAAGCTATCGAAGGAAAGATAGATGGGCGGATAGAAGTGACAAGAAGACGAGGAAGAAGACGTAAGAAGATGCTGGATGACCTTGGGGACAGAAGAGGATACTGTCATTTGAAGGAGAAAGCTCTAGATCGCATTAAGTGGAGGAATTGTTTTGGAAGAGACTGTGGACCTGTCGTCTTGACAGATTACTGATGATGATGATGATGATCTGCTCTCTGTGGAACTTCCATTTATTAGTGCTGCTACTTCCTATTTGTCTGGTCACATCCATTGCTCCTGTCATTCCTTCTCTAAAGATGGAAGGTAGTGGGTTTGATTCCCGATGAGGGCATTTTATTTTCTATTTACCTAATCCTTCCAGTCACACCATGGCCCTGGGGTTGACTCGGCCTCTGATAGAAATGAGTACCAAGAATCCTGTGGGGTAAAGGGCAGCCAGCAAATAAGGCTAACAACCTCACTGCCATCTGTGAGCCAGATGTTAGGAAAATGTGGGATCCTCGATGTCTCACAACCCTATGGGCCTCCATGGCTGTTACAGAGATAGCTTTACCTTTTTTACCAAGATCATTTCTTTCCAAGGTCAAATCAATCTTTCGCCATGAAGAAAGCAGTAAATTCCTCTATAACTTTGATACCTTAAGGCAGTAATCTTCATTTGCTATTCTGAGAGCCTCAAATCCTTGACAGTAATGAATGCTTGTGTTACACACACGCAGGATATTTTTTGACTGGCTTGATAACTATCAGTCAACATTTCGAAGAAAACCTTCTATAGTGGAGTCAGTTAATGAAACTCTAAATAATGGAATGTACTCCATTTTAGTTTTATTTCATCTCTCTTAGTTCAAAGTGTTTTCCTCAGCACCCTATTTTCAAGTACTTGTAATTCATAATAATAACAGAGTAAATGTCTTTACTGTCATGTGTTCAGGTCTGGCGTCTCGTCCAGTGCCCCCAGAAGGACGTGAAAGTATACTGACTTACAGCCAAGTAAAAAAGTCATGGCTATCTTCAAGTGACTGGCTACCATCAGTGGATGAATTCTTGCAAGGTATCACTGCTTCTCATAATGGAACTGAGGATCCTAAACAAGCATGAAGACAGTGAACTTCATTCTTAAGTTTAAATTTGGATGTCACTGATATGGCACACTGATTATGGGTATTCTTTTGGACTTTTCCCATAACCCCAGATTTCTAAAACTACTACCTACTATTCTACTACTATGACTCAATTTCCTTCATCAAGAAAGTACGTGATATATTTTTTACTTTTTAAATATTTACCATTTACAATCATCATCATTATTTCCAGGAATTACTATTGTACAAGAGCTGGGATAGCTCAGTCGATAGCCAGGGTTTAATTCCCAGCAGAGGCAAGAGATCTTTCTCTGCTCCACAAGAGCAAGTGGCTCAAGTGGTAATGTTTGTGGCCTATATTCACAAGATGGCCTGTTAGCATGACTATGTTGAGATTTTTTGTGGTTTTCCTCAATCCCTCCAGGCAAATTCCAGGATAATTCCGCACATCATGACCAGTTTGAATGAGCCAATGATGGTATCACTGAATCATCTGATGCTATATAATCCAACTTACTGTGAGCATCGTTAAATAAATGCACATAAATTCTTCCATTAGTTGGTTATTTATTCCTATGTTTCAGAATATCAGACGACAGTCAATAACAGTAAGGAATGTAACTATACTTCTGGGAGAGACGATGAGAATATGGTGTGTGATGTGGACATAAATAGTTGGGGAGACTGTAAACCTAATGGCACTTTCATTCCAAATGTATGCATGTTCTTCAAGATCAACAAGGTAAGCAGCAACTGATGCAAGATCAGCGAGCACAAGACACTGGTACATATTCCTCATACGTGTTTGTGAATCGCAGAGCCTTATTATTTCGGCCCATTGCCTCTATAGGTGTATGATTAAAATGTGATGAAAATCTGTCAGACCTTTTTGTGAAAGCTGACATTTCATATTTACATCATAGCATGCATGCTGTTATTTTCTTGAAGATACCACTGTGCAGTTTTGTTTAGGACAATGATCTCCATAAATTACTGAAATTTAATCACAATTGTTACAGAAGATCTTGGAAAAGTAGGGCCCCTAATTTTTAAGTTACAATGTTCATATTCAGCAATCACTGACCTATGATGGAGACAAAGTCTTACGTACTGAATATGAACAAAATCCATCCTGCCATTCAGGTGCTAGCAAAGGACATTATAGCACCTCTGCATCTGCATTAAGCTATCAAATGTTCCTGTACACTCATAAAAAGTGCAGTTCTGCACATTGCTGCAGGTCCCTATCAGGCGGTACGGTGACAGCAGGAACCTAAATAGCTTTACAGCCTCTCCACACCCACTGCAAGCTATAAAATGTTCCTGTACAGTCACGAAAAGTGCAGTTCTGCACATTGCTGCAGGTCCCTGTCAGTCTGTACATTGACAGCAAGAACCTAAACAGCTTTACAGCCTCTCCACACCCACTGCAAGCTATAAAATGTTCCTGTACAGTCACGAAAAGTGCAGTTCTGCACATTGCTGCAGGTCCCTGTCAGTCTGTACATTGACAGCAAGAACCTAAACAGCTTTACAGCCTCTCCACACCCACTGCAAGCTATAAAATGTTCCTGTACAGTCACGAAAAGTGCAGTTCTGCACATTGCTGCAGGTCCCTGTCAGTCTGTACATTGACAGCAAGAACCTAAACAGCTTTACAGCCTCTCCACACCCACTGCAAGCTATAAAATGTTTCTGTAGTCATGACAAAACTTGCTGAATGTTTTTCCAGCTAAAGCTGTATTCTTGGAAGCATTTATATTAAATCTTACTTGTACTTGTCAAAACTGTATATGGATAAGACTGTATTTTAAGTAATACTTTAGAACCTGGTGATACCTCTTAGAGTAGGTTGTGACTCCCATCTGATCCAAATATAATCCAGAAATAAATAAAATGTAAAGTTTGTAAATGAAACATATCTCTATATTACAGATATTTGAATGGAAGCCAGATTATTACAAAGACCTGGAATCCCTACCACAGGAGATGCCTGAAGACCTGAAGAATGTAATCAATGACACATTTTATCTTTTCCCAGCAGCAGTAAGTGTTGATCTGTGTGGATGCAAAAACTTTTGACTATGAAGTTACTGAACTTGGAAGTGTATTGGTTCTCATTATTTAAATACCCCCCCCCCTTTTTTCCTTAGTGGGGTTGGACTAAGTCCACTTGGTACTGTGGCCCCTACTGGTCTATTGTACCAGCCCCAGATGATAGACGAGGGTGATTGTGAAGCAAGTGGTGGAATGAAAATCGGCAGGGGAAACTGAAGTACTTAGAGAGAACCTGCCCCAGTGCCACTTTTTCCACCACAAAACCCACATGACCAGACACAGGCTCGAACCTGGGCCAATGCAGTGGGAAGCCAGCAACTAACTGCTTGAGCTATGGTGTGGTCTTTTAAATACCTTACTAGTATGTATCGCAGCCACAGCTGATAAAGCAATCTGCAAATATTACAGTAAATTTTCTGGGTGTGATAAAAGTCACTGTTCCCAGTCTCATGTTTTTAACTATAAGAGTATAGTTAAATTCATGTCATTAGGTTTTTGCAGTTGGAACTTAACATGTAACTTCGGTATTTGGGACTGTGTCAAGCAGAATGTTGAATGTTTGGCACATCTCATATAGAACTTGCAGTGTGTGGTGAGTTAGGGATGAAGCCATGATTGGGTGAAACAAAGGAACAAGGTTCTATCCATTAGGTAAAGTTATCCTTGTAACAGGCCGTGGAGGCCCATAGGGTTGTAAGAGGTTGAGGCTCCCACATCTTCTAGACAATTTGCTCACAGATGGTGGTAAGGTCATCAGCCTTATACACCGGCTGCCCTTTACCCCCAGGAAGATTCCTGGTACTCATTTCTGTTAGAGGCTGAGTCAACCCCAGGGCCATACTGCAGCTGGAAGGATTAGGTAAATTGAAAAAAATCAACCTTATCGGGATTCAAACCCACAATCTTCTGGCTTGTAGCCATAAGATTGTTGGTTGCCTCAACCAACCTCCTCTATCCATTAGGGAACAAACAAATGGTTAATGAAAAGAAGTGATGAAAAATGTTTCAGCTGCCAGGTCTTCCTTAATTCAGGAAAGTATTTCTTTAGCAACCATTTGGTAAGGGGAAGAAGAAAAAAGGAAGGTTTTAGTAACATGATTAGGAAAAGAAATGTTGAACAAACCTCACTGACCACATAAAAGGAAATTCTTCCACACAGTTGCTAAAATACCCATCTATCACCTCTTGTCCTAAACATGTGGCTGCCAAAATTTTTTCATAACCTCTTTTCAGGTCTACCTGGTCATCAGAACATTTTTGAAAATCTCCCTTCATTAGTCATGTGGTCACTCCCTACTGGACTGCGCTTTGTTGTTTCATTCAGTCACAGCGTCATCTCTGACTCAAGATTTAGATAAAAACTGCCAAACCCACCCAAAGCCATTAACCGTGATGATGGCAACTGCAGTGTTTGCCAAGACACTGGACAACATTCAACATACGACATGGCATATTCTCTACTGTAGAAGCCACATATACTCTTTTTTTGCCTTTATAACATCAGTGAAGAACATTCAGATGAAATTAATCATTATCTTCTTTAGTAAAGGATAGAGTTTACACATTACATATGCCTACACAAAATCTATTTCATACCCCTAATTAGCAATGAACGCAGTATTTTGTTATTTCTTCCTTAAAGTTTTAGCTAATACATATTGTGATACTGACAAGGAAAGTAGTCAGAACCTGAGTGAACAGGTACTTATACTTGTTAAACTATGTGAAGTAACTACCACTGAAAATTACTGTTTTCTATGATGTGACGCCGTGTAGTCTAGGAGATATCAGTGTTTCAGAGACAGCTGTTTCCATGTACAAGACAGATTACCCACCATTCAGTTGGCGAGGGATCCCTGTATTTGTTACTGTGGGATATCTGCTCAAGGCAGGAACTGTGCAATGAGAGAAACAGCCGTTGCTATGAAATGACCATAAGCAAGGCAAATATACTAGACCCATTTAAAGTCAACAGCTCAAGTAACATGTTTCTGTTGCTAAGTGGCTGCTTCTTAATAAACCAGATGACTGTTGCTATGCAACAGTGCGGTAAACATACACACAACAATGGAAGAGTTGTGCTTTCTATGTGGTCTGTCCTGAAATGTTATAACTGAGACAAGTCAGTTGTCAGAGTTCAGATGAGTTCAAAGTCTGACTGTGAAGAGAACACTTTATGTGTATTACTTAGAGTGTGTAATGCTGTGAGATGGTTATGGTTCCTGTGTTAAAATCCATTGCCAGGAAATGGCTAGTGGAGATTTTAATAGAGTGAGGAGACCAGCATGCATAACACTGAACTGTACACGGTGGAAACAGCAACAATGCTGTAGTTATTTGTAGTACAACCTGTAATAGTCAATAAATGAAGCATCAAATCCAAACGTCATCTGTAGTCACACATACACATGACATTATTATATCTGGTCACATTTCAGGTACTCCATTTTAGCACATTTTAAAAGGTTTAAACAGAAAATGTGACGTTGTTCAAATGAAACATGTTCAGGGTGAAGGAGCATAAGCTGTTAGAAACAGTGACATTGAGGCAGGCCTCCCACTGGTTCACGAACTGATGGACCCCCATGTGACTGCTGGCATCACGCATACAGCCATGACATCACCTAGAACTGCCATATTCATTAGCAGTGCTGCAAACATGTTTCATTTGAACAATCTTCATATAAATTGGATCTCACTAAATTTACATAATTTCAAATGACTTCTAATTTTCAGAAGAACAAAGTGTGGCTTAGCTGTGAGGGGAGAAACCAAGACGATCAACAACATCTGGGAACTATTAAATATTATCCAGAGCAGGGGTTCCCTGGTTACTATTTCCCATTCCGTAATCAAATCGGTTTCAGAAGCCCTATTGTAGCCATGCGTATCTTGGAGCCAAAACGTAAGTCATCCATCTCACTTCTGAATCAAGCATCAATTGCTGTACTTTCATGCTTCACTTGAGTGTGTTCACAGGTTTAATTTTGCAGTGCTTTCTGTGCTTAATTCTTTAAGCACTATGCCGTTCAGACATTTGGGGGAGCGGACTACAGACAGGACAGCCGAGGTTCAATTCTCAACAGTGCAACAGTTTTCTCTTTTCCACAGTATCCAGACTAGCACTGGGACCCACCCAGCCTCCTATCCAATGGGTACCTGGGGCTCTTTCCCCTGGGATACAGCAGCAGGGACGTGAAGCTGACCACTCATCTCCATCTAGTGCCAAAGTCAAGAATGGTAGAGCTATACCGCCACTCCCCAAATGTATTCAGGGAATAGTGCTCAACTACTTAAGCACAGGCACAACTTCACTTTCGTGGTCAAAACAAGATCCATATTTTCTGTCTGCCAGAAACTGCTCCCATTGAACCATTACCTTTCGCCACTGATGTCATACATGAACATACACTGAAGCCAAACCACTTGGAACATCACAGTCACATCATCATCATCATCAGTAATCTGTCAGATGACAGGTCCGCAGTCTCTTCCAAAACAATTCCTCCACTTAATGCGATCTTGAGCTTTCTCCTTCAAATGATAGTATCCTCTTCTGTCCCCAAGGTCATCCAGCATCTTCTTATGTCTTCTTGTCACTTCTATCCGCCCCTCTATCTTTCCTTCAATAACTTCTTTTAGAAGGCAGTTTCTGCATAAAACATGACCAATCCAATTAGCCTTCCGTTTTCTTATTTCGTGTAGGATATTCCTCTGCTCACTGACTCTAATTAACACTTCTTCATTTCTCACATAATCGGTCCAACTGATCTTCTCCATCCTTCTCCAACACCACATTTCGAAACTTTCCAGATGTTTCTGATCTACTGCCCTAAGTGTCCATGTTTCAGCCCCATACAGAGCTATGCTCCAAATGTAGCATTTCACTAGTTTCTTCCTCAAATTTAAGTCCAATTTGCTGGTAAAAAGATTCTTCTTCTTGCTAAATGCAGATTTTGCCATGGCAATCCTGGATTTAATTTCACAAGTACACCTTCCATCATCTGTTAACAAGCTACCCAAATATTTAAATCATTTCACATTCTCCAGTTGTTTGTGGTCTATCTTTATTGTGACTGGGGTTGGTTGTCTCGAAATTTTCATTACTTTTGTTTTCTGCACATTTATTTCCATGTCATAGCACCTTCCAATTTCAATTAGTCCATCAATCATGCCCTGTAGCACAGTCTCTTCCTTAGTCGCCATTAACACAAGGTCATCTGCATATTTCACAGTTTGAATAATTTGTCCTCCTAATTTGAAGTCTTTGAGCCCATCCAGAGCTTCTTTGGTAAGGCATTCGCTGTACAAGTTGAACAGAATTGGTGATAAACAGCATCCTTGTCGAACTCCTCTTCCAATCTGCACACTTCTTGTCTCCCCTCTGTCCAGTCGTACTCTAACTTTCTGATCCATGTACAATTTGCTAATCAATCTTCTTTCACGCCAATCGATACCTGTTTCCTTTAGGATCTGCATCCCAGAAAAAATGTAATCTTGGTACCACTGTGGGAACCTAAACCCTCACAAGGTAATGAACCCTTGTAACGCAAGCTCAGCTTGCTATCTTGCTTCTTCTTTGGCATATTCTTCCACCCAGAAAGTGGAGGCCATTTCTTCCTCTGAAACACCTGGCTGTCTCCAAACTGCATGGCACTATACTCCAGAAAGGTGTACCCCTCATAAACATAGCTTATCAACTAACACTTGCTCCAAGGAGTTACTCCGTTTGTTACGCGACTTAACTCACTCATGCACAATTGGAATATAATGCATTTTTATGTGTTCACAGATGATGTTGTAATCAACCTGGAATGTCGAGCCTGGGCACGCAACATTGAACAAGACCGCAAAGAACAGATAGGCGTCCTTAATTATAAGATAAAGATAGAATGACAGGCTGCAGTATTCAACAAATTACAGAAAAATACTATGTATTTTTGTGACAAAATAAATTTCCATCACCACTATTATTATAAACTAGGATTAAATCATGTGCCTTACACAGTTTTGGAGAATTTTTTGTGACAATCTGCATTAAATGAACATGTTTCAATATCCCACCAATATGTGAATACTAGAAGCTTGTAGAAATACAGATGTTGATACAATGGTAAACATCACTGACTGATAGCAACATGCTGGTCATGCTGCTTCAACCCAGCCACACCCCCAACTTCACCATGCCCATGTAAGCAATAACACTATTCCAGCTAAAATTATTTTGATCAATCCTTGAAGTGTAAAACTAGATCTCTTGATAAGATACATTCAACAAATTTAATTCTTGGATGAAATAAACTGGACTGGACTGCCTCTGTGGTCTAGTGGTCAAGAGTTCATCGCTACAGATCCAGAGGTCCGGGTTCGATTCCCAGTGCTATAAAATTTTCTGAAAAGTGGTGGGTCTGGAACGGGGTCCACTAAGCCTTGCAAGGATAATTCAGGGCCTTTTCAAGGAAATAGCGGCTCCAGTCTAGAAAACCGAAATTAACAACTATAGGGATTTGTTGCGCTGACCATGTGACACCCTCTATCCGCTAAATTGGGCACTAACTTTACTGACAAGTGGTGGTCGCTCAGTCAGTATAGTTTGCTTGCGGACTAAAACCACGGAGTTTTCTTAATAAAATGGACTGTTACTTTATTTGCATTGCAATTCTACCATAGATTTCCACTGATAGAAGCCTTCTGTCATCAAGTTATGAACTGATACTACATTATGACAGCATGTACAGTATCGCATCTTCGCTGTTTACATTACTTTGACATCTCTTCTGGTAGTATGCAAACAGGAACAACAGATGGCAGGAGTGACATATTTTCTCAGATCAAGGTGTCATTTTGCTTTTAATTTTAACACTAATTAGTATGTACCTGGTAGGTATAGGACAGGATACAAAAAGGACAAGAAGTGTCTGCAGATGGGATTTTAGGCTTTCCAAATATATGTGGCAATCTGCCAAAGTGTTATAAAGTGAAATTTGCTTACAAAGGGACCAAAATATCTGTAGCAGCATATCTCATTTGTAAATATGTGTAATAAAGATAGTTTTGTTCAATAGTTTTTCAAAGTGACCTCTTTCCCAAAAACAAGTCCTAGACATGTTACTGAATGATAATGTCTGTTAAGTAAATTTTCTTCATACAATGGAATGATGGTCAGACAATGAAGTGTCTGGAATTGACCAATTAGGTTTTCTATTGGCACTTTTTCCATCACTGTAATTTCTAATACTGTCACAATTTAGGGCATGTGCATGACTTATAGACTGGTTTTGAATTGGATGATTGGATTTATTTACACATTATACACTCAACTTGTAACTACAAGTAATACAGCGCTATCGATGATGTACACACTATATAAATCACTAGGACACGCTAAGTCTTCTCAGTCTTCACTAGTCGTATCCTGGCAATGGATGTATAATGGTTTCACTGTGACTGCAGCACACTATGTACATGCATATGGCATGTTGGAATTGTAAAGATGTATTGTTGTTTGTAAAGCTTGTGACGTGATTCATATTCAGCGCAGATTGCACTTTCAAATATCTTGAAACGCAGATGTATGTCTGTATGAAGTCTTCTTTGCATAGTCTAATTCCTTTCTTGCCATTTCTTCTCTCCACCTGTGGAGACTCCCTCAATTCCCTGCTGCAACTGCGAACTCTGGAATTCAACTCAACTTTTCTCAACTGAACTCTTCATTATAACCACTTTTTACAGACCATGAGAAAACATCATTTCCAAAACCCCTATTGCTGTATTTACCAATCTGTTGCTTAGAAACACGTTCTTCTGTTGTTGCATGTGTATTCATTGAACAGAAATCTGTTTACTGATCTGTTCCCTAGAAACGGGTTGCATAACACTGCTTATTATTCACCTGTTTCATAGAAACGGCTGTACTTGCTACATTGCTCCCTCCTTAAGGCTATTTGTCCTGAATGGCCTACATACATACCACAATTTCTTCTTTTCTGAGAGCTGTGCTTGTAATGTCTGTGATCAGTCTCACCTTCCTTCCCATGGTGTGGCTTTTCCGCGGTTCTTCTGCTGCTCCCTCCTTAAGCCCACTCATCCCAAGCAGCTCCCTGATAAGGTGCCAGTCGGTCCAGGTTTATCACCATCATCCTGTTTTTGCAACCGGGGGAAATTACACAGAGTGGCTGGTGTTCCTACATCTCCATCTCTTACTCTGTGTGCAGTCTCTTTTTCCATTTCGGAGGGGCTAACCCCTCCACAATTTCCAATCCCTTATTTCTCAAAGTCTAATGGAAGTCCCAGCCATTTGCTTTATGATCTCCAGCCCAAGAACATTCCTGAAGGTCTTCTTATGTGTCCTCTCCTTCTTCAGATGTAGTTCCTGTCTTCAGCCTTGGTTCCTTATTCCATTTTTGAATTATGGGATCTTCCAATGTCTCGTCTCATCTGTTCATCCTTTCTGGGTTCTTGGTGCAACATTGTCCCTGCCATGTCCCATGCGCCATGCCACTCCTACATGGTAAGTCATCTGTCTGTGGGCAGCAGCCAACTACTTCTGGGACCCACCCTAGCCCTTGGTCCATATCTTCAGCTTTCCGCAGCACCCTACAGCTAGATTCTGATCCCCATGCTGCATCTTTAATGCCCTGTTAGGGACTTCTGTTCTCCTAGATTTGTCTCCATCTTTTCTAGACAGGCATCCAACATGGCCTTCATCTCTTCCTGGTTGCCATCGATCCGGGAGGTAAGGGAACTCACTTGGGCTTTTATCTCCTCTTGTCTGTCGCCCACCTTTTCTTGAAAGGTGTCCATCTTGGCTTCCATCCTTTGTTGGTCGGTTTCTGTCTTTTCTCGAATTATTCTCATTTCTTCACGGTTGGTTCTTATTTCGGTTAGGAGATATGCAATGATTTGTTCCCTCTCCATACTGTGGCAACATAACAATTCAATGCAGTTTCCAATCCGACCACTTCTGACACAAAATTTGTCATGTATTAAGAGTGCATGAATTATCAGACAGGGGTTTGGACTTGATTGACAACTTATACACACCACTCGGAACTACAAGTAATACATCGCTATCACCAATCTACACACTTTAACCATTGCACACACACTGTGCCCTCAGTCTATTACAGTCTCCACTAGCCGTTTCCTGGAAATGGATTTTAACACAGGAACTATAAGTCTCACTGAATCACACGCTCCAAATACTGCTGTACTATAGCACAAAGTCTTCTCTTCACAGTCAGACTTTCAGTTCCACTGAACTCTTTTGACTCCTCCATCATCTGCCAACTCCGGAATTCTCAATCCAATTCTTTGCTGCATCCAGGGTCATATCCTGGCAACTGACAACTGAGAGACTAAATTCTTTGCTGCAAGTGCCAACTCCTCCATCATCTTTGTAGAGCTCAACTCTCAACTGACTCTCTCAATAGAAACACTTTGCAGTGGACCAAATAGAAAACACAGTTTCCAATAATATCCCTACTGTTAAGAGGCTATGCTACAAGTCAGAAGGTCGCGGATTCAAGTCCTGATGATGTCACTGGATTTTTTCAATTGACCTAATACTTCCAGCTGCACTATGGCCCTGGGGTTCACTCAGCCTCTAACAGAAATGAGTACCAGGAATTAATTAAATAATTTTCCTGGGGAGTAAAGTGCATCCGGCGCATAAGGCTGACAAACTTACCGCCATCTTTGAGCCGACTGTCTAGATAATGTGGGACCCTCAACATCTGACAACCCTATGGGCCTTCACGGCCTGTTACAGGGATAGCTTTGCTTTGCTTTGCTTTGCTTTACTTTACTTTACTTTACTGTTGTGTGTTTACCGATCCATTCCTTAGAAATGGGTTCTTCTATTGTTGTGTAACTGTACATTTCCACAGGAACCTGTTTACTGCCACTGCCTAGCAATGAACTATTCCAGCTTTCAGGAGTCACGCCACAATACGAAAAACCAGAACATTTCAGACATGGGTTCTACTTCTGTCTAGAGGTGGAGAGGGCACTTACGCAGCACTATTTGCGTATCCTCATCCTCTTCACCTGAAGAATGGAAGAGAACTCACATGATTGTTATAATGAAAATGGAGAAAATAAGCAAAATTCAAACACATAATCTTAAATGTTGTGTCACACTATCAAATAACTTAAACTTGTTTTCAAATAAAGATTACCACCTTCTGGGATGTCATGCCATACAGTGTGGTAGGCATTTACAGATATTTCAGGGGAATGTGCTGCCTCCATCTTCAGGGTAGGTTCCTCCAAAACATCGGTAGAATTTACCACACATGGTATACTGAACGGGTTGATGTAGCAGTAGCATTTACTCATACTCAGAAGATGCTTGGTTTGAATTTCAGCTGAGGCACTGGCTATCCTGAATGAGGTTTATCATTGTTTCCTCAATCCCTGCAGGTAAACACCAAAGTAGTACTTCCATTAGGTCATGACTGTTTCTTTCCAAATCTTACAGATTCACTGTTAATCTGTCATTGTATCACCTGATGCTACACGGTCCAGCTGCTGACAGTGTCACACTATAAAACTCCGTGGCTTTTAGTACGCAATTGAACTATACTGACCGAGTGACTGACGCTTGTCACCAAAATGAATGCCAACTTTTTGTGCATAGAGGATGCCGCGTGGTCAGTGCAATGGATTCCCATGGCTGTTAACCTCGGTTTTCTAAACTGGAGCCACTACTTTTCCATTCAAGTAGTTCCCCAATTATCCTCACGAGCCTGAGTGAACCCTGTTCCAGGCCCATTACTTCTCAGAAAATCTGGTAGCGCCGGGAATCGAGCCCAGGACCTGTGGATCTGTAGCCAGGAACTCTGACCACTAGACCACATAGTGGCCTCAGCGTAGCACTATAACCTATAAAAATACATGACATCACATTCGCAAAACAGTAACCTTCAACATCTCTTTTATTCATAATGAGAGATGATCCTCATAATTATGTCACATATACAGAAAAAAATGTCCAAGGCCAATAAACCAACCCATATAGCAGCCATGTACTTCACTCCATGTCACCTTTGTGAACTGTGGATCATCACAGAGCATTATATATGGTGTTCCCATAGTGGTAATGTACAAACACTCATGTTTCCTCATAAAATGATATTAGACAAGAAGTTCTAGGAACCACCTACTTTCCTTTGATACAAGGGTGAGTCAGTAAATAGGTCACAAACGGACATGGAACATAAAACATGCAATATCTGAACCTAGAAAAAAACATTTATTTCTCGACATAATCACCACCAACATGATACACTTGTCCTGTCGTTTTACCAGTGTGAAAAATCAGAGAGGCATACAGCCTAGCATCAACAAGGGGCGAACAGATGACAAGGTGATCTTATAAGACTCCTTTTATTTTTTAAAAAATAAGGAAAGCAGACTAAAAAGGGAATACTGTTGGATCTGAGGTTCTCACAGTGGTGACTATAAAAGTATGATCTTCTGGGATACAACACCCTGTAGTCCATCAGAAGGTCACTGACATTTCAGAGGAAATACTGCCTCCATCTTCAGGGTTAAACAGTTCACCTAGCAAGGAGCAGGACTTACTCCTTGCCACTTGCTTGGCTTATTTTTGAACCCTGAAGTTGGTGACAGTATGTAGGTAAGATTATTAAGTAACATCACTGAAATCTTGTAAAACATTTGGATTGTGGTCTTCTGACAACATGTAATGACATACCAATACTTCAGAGGAACCTGCTGTCTCTTCAACAGAGAACTGAGGATGGAGACAGCAAGTTCCTCTGAAACAATGGCAACCAGCTACCAGACTGCACAGTATCATAACCAGGAAGACCACAACCTAAACCTTCAATGCCATGAAAACTGCCTCACACCGTATAACATTCATTCCACAAACTATGATGAAAGACAGGATGCCATAAACAATACCACAACCTTCTGCAAAAAACTGTCATTCTTTGTATTTTATACATATCTCTTGCAAATGTATGCACAATATTGCACTTTATTCTATGTTGTTCATGGTTATAAAAGAGTGCCTCCCAAATTAAAATTCATCCAGAAACCTAAATGTGTAAGTACTAACCATTACACTATAACAAACAAGTTCCAATGGCAGTGCATGTGTAGCCACTGGTCTGCTGACCTACAGTTTTTATTTTAGTACATCTGTACCACAGTATCTCTAAAAAACTAAACTCCTTGGCTTTAGTCCGCAAGCGAACTATACCGATCGAGCAACCGCCGCTTGTTGGCGAAGTTAGTTTCAACTTTAGTGGATAGAGGGTGTCACATGGTCAGTGCAATGAATCCCCACGGACGCTAGGTTCAGTTTTCTAGACAGGACCACAGTATCTCTATATTTAGCAAAACTGTTAGAATGATTTCCATCTTTTCAGAAGCATAAATAAAAATGCCGCTTCACTTTCACACAATCTTATGTTCATTCTCACTGTGTAAAAATATGGGGCTAATACAACATCAGTCATTTCTTTATATATTGTCATGTGTAGGGTGGTACACATGACAAAATGACAGGTTCCAGTCCAGATGACTGAATTTATTAGCACCTTGGTTACAACCTCTCTTAATTACACTTAAATTACAGGCAGTACAGCGCTCACTGTTGCACACGCACTAGGATTCCAAGTCTTCACTAGCCGTCTCCTGGCAATGGATCCCAACACAGAAATTAGCAGTCTCACTGGACTACACACTCCCAGTATTACAAATGAATGAAGTCTTCTAATCACACTGTAATTGTTCTACAAACTTCCACCGAGAACTGAGAACTCTGTCACTTAAAAACTGAAATCTGTTATGTCTGTAATTGTTGTTACATGGCCGCGCCACAGCTCAAGCGGTTAGTCACTGGCTTCCCACCACAGCGGCCAGGTTTCGATCCCGGGTCTGGTCAAGTGGGATTTTTGATGGACAAGTTGCGCTGGGGGTGGGTTTTCTCCGAGTACTTCGGTTTCCCCTGCCAATCTTCATTCCACCAATTGCTCCATCATCATAATCACCCGGGACAGGCTACAACAGGCCAATCAGTGGCCACCACGCCAAGTCGACCCAGTTGGACTCCACCCCCCACTAAGCGAATTAAAAAAAAGTGTTGTTACATAGCCTCCGTGCCGACCACACAGAAAACGGCCTCTATTGTTGTAGAGGAGTGTTTACTGCGACATGGCATAGCAATGGTCACGGCACGGACCACATAGAAAACACCGTACTTCTATTGTTGTGTGTGTGTATGTTGCAGACGATTCACTACTTAGTAACAGATCTATATGCTACAATATAAAGAGACAGAACTGCAGCCAGCAAAAAATTCAGCATCTTTTTAGGTACATCAGTTAACAGGAAAAACACTTTATAAGTTATAGATTTTTCTGTTTTCCATGTATATTTAAATGATAGTTCAGATGTTCTTTCCTTACAAAACCTTTGCCACATTCTTGACATACAAATCGACGTTTTCCAGAGTGCACAGTGAGATGATCTTTCAGCCGATCTTTCCTAGCAAAAGTTTTACCACATTCAGTGCAGACATGTGGCTTGTTCTGTGAATGTGTATATACATGAGTCTTAAGTTTATGATTCTTTGAAAATTTCTTTCCACAAATTGTACAGAGAAAAGGTTTCCGACCTGCATGAATTCCCAGGTGTTCTTTTAAGCTATCAGCACGTCCAAATGTTTTAGAACACAGAGTGCAGTTAAATGCCCGTTCCCCTGTATGGCACACCAGATGTGCCTGCAAGTGTGTCATTCTAATAAATTTCTTACCACAGTCTACACAGGAGTATGGCCTCTCTACACCGTGTGTCTTCATGTGACTATAAAGGCCACTGCTCTGTGTAAAACAAGCTCCGCATTCTACACATGAGTATGATTTCTCAGCAGAATGAATCTTGCAATGCAGTTTCATACTCTGTTTAAGATGAAATTGCTTCCCACATACATCACAGGAGAATGGTCTATCATCGCTGTGAGTTACCATGTGTCGCTTCAGAGCATTCTTCATGCGAAACATTTTACCACACACATCACACACAAACTTTTTTACTGGTTGTGTTTCATCTGTGACAATGTGAAAAGCTGACCCTTTATGGTCGATGTTTTTCGTTTCGTCATGATCACAAGGGCTTTGCTCCGTACACTGAGCATCCGGCCTGAAATAGTGTTAATAAATCATTTTTAGCGTCACAGCTCAATAAGTCTGTCCTAACCATTTAACTGAGAAAACTTCAATAATGTCAAACACAATTATGAAAACAGAAATGTTAATTTCATATGTATTTATTTTTTGTTTATTTAATGACACTTTCAGAAGTTAAGACAATATACTGTCAAATTGTAGGATGATTACTCAATAATGATGTGGGGCAGACATGAAATAACATGGTCATACCAAATTTTGAGTTACTGAACTGACATTTTCTTACAGACTGAATGAAACCACAAAACCTTAATCAGGACAGCCACCTCCAGGCTGAGATTTGAATGCAGGACCTCCCAAACAGAAAAGCAGGGAGCTATTTATTTTGAACTGACCATTTATCAATATATAAAAACTTCAAAGAGTTATGTGGGTACAAATGTCCAACAACCATGAGAACAATACAATTCAAACTAAAATGATATACACTTCAGGTGTTATTTTAATATTTTTTGATGATTAACTTCTGAATAAATGTTTCATCTATATAAAAAGTAAAGCTGCCCCTGTTCTCAATTAATTAAGACGTATAGGAACTGCAGGAACACCTTCATACATATTTAACCTTGGCACAAGTTCAGCTTCACACCCCAATCACTTCACTCCAAGAGAAAAAAAATCCCTGGAACCCAACAGGAATTAAATTCAAATCCACCAGCCAACCACTTTGTAGATTAATCACTATACTAGCTGAATAACTTTCATTTATTTCACTTCTTCTTCTTCTACAGATGCTACAGCTCATGATGGACCTTGACTTCTTCTACTACTGCTCACCATTGGTCCTGATCCTGTGGCTTTTGTCTCCAATCTTTAATGCCTACTTGTCGAGTACCCTCTGCTTTATATAGAATTAACTTCCTGCAAGGTTTCTGCTCCTGCATTTTAAAACCACGGCAAATACCTGCTGAGATGGACTTAATTCCCTAAGGCCTTCTATTAAAACAAAAGCCAGAATTATCAAAATGGCTGACCATATACAATTCTATCTTGTGGGATATAATACTGTGTAGCTCCACAAATATCAACAGACATTTTGGAGGAACATGCTGCCTCCACCTTCAGAGTCAAACATTTAGCTTAACAAGAAACCACTAATGCCATGACCAATGTGCCAATCCAGACAAAAAATTTTGCATGGACTTAACTCCCTAAGGCCTTCTATTAAAACAAAAGCCAGAATTATCAAAATGGCTGACCATATACAATTCTATCTTGTGGGATATAATACTGTGTAGCTCCACAAATATCAACAGACATTTTGGAGGAACATGCTGCCTCCACCTTCAGAGTCAAACATTTAGCTTAACAAGAAACCACTAATGCCATGACCAATGTGCCAATCCAGACAAAAAATTTTGCATGGACTTAACTCCCTAAGGCCTTCTATTAAAACAAAAGCCAGAATTATCAAAATGGCTGACCATATACAATTCTATCTTGTGGGATATAATACTGTGTAGCTCCACAAATATCAACAGACATTTTGGAGGAACATGCTGCCTCCACCTTCAGAGTCAAACATTTAGCTTAACAAGAAACCACTAATGCCATGACCAATGTGCCAATCCAGACAAAAAATTTTGCATGGACTTAACTCCCTAAGGCCTTCTATTAAAACAAAAGCCAGAATTATCAAAATGGCTGACCATATACAATTCTATCTTGTGGGATATAATACTGTGTAGCTCCACAAATATCAACAGACATTTTGGAGGAACATGCTGCCTCCACCTTCAGAGTCAAACATTTAGCTTAACAAGAAACCACTAATGCCATGACCAATGTGCCAATCCAGACAAAAAATTTTGCATGGACTTAACTCCCTAAGGCCTTCTATTAAAACAAAAGCCAGAATTATCAAAATGGCTGACCATATACAATTCTATCTTGTGGGATATAATACTGTGTAGCTCCACAAATATCAACAGACATTTTGGAGGAACATGCTGCCTCCACCTTCAGAGTCAAACATTTAGCTTAACAAGAAACCACTAATGCCATGACCAATGTGCCAATCCAGACAAAAAATTTTGCAAACCAGTTGTGGATACATCCTATACTAATAAAAATAATCCAAAACATTAAAAATTAAAAACATTTCATTCTGTCCCATATATTAATACCTGCATCTTATTTATGTTTAGAAGACTAAATAAAGACATGAATTTTATTAATTAAATTAAGCCTAATCAACCTAACCTCTCTCCAAATTTATATACCTTTGGAAAATAAAGAAGTATATTTAAATAAGATCAAATATATTCTGTTTACATATGCAAATACAACCACAGCAATCCATTGGAAACTTGTGTGCTACAACAATTGTGAGATGGTAGCTAAAAAACTGGAACAGTTGAGCCACAAGAGATGACTGTTATGTGGTAATGGCTTGGTAAACACGTTTCTGCAGCACCAGGTATGAAAGCAACATTCACGGGGAAAAGATCTATGGTCGTGGGCCTCAAGGGACTTGGCACCAAGACAAACTGATTGGTGATAAACTACCAGTCATAAAGCAACTCTTACTCTGGAGAAGAATTTGCATGTGCTATACTGCATTATAAAGTCTGTAAGTCAGTGATAGTGTTATAATTACTTTTAGTTACAAGTTATAAATGTTCAATAAATTCATATACCAATCAAAATCCTGTGTACTGTCATTAAATTGCAACAGTATCATTCCAGCAAGAGACAACAGTAGACAGTTGCAATATTTTCCTGAGAGTACTTTTGGACAGTCTCCATTAACATGATAAAAATGACTGTCCCAATTGACAAAGTCAGTCTTGTAAGATCTGAGGCTTTCACGGCGGTAACTATGAAGAAAGCAGTCTTCTGAGATTTGGCACCGTGTATATGTGGTGTTAACCGACGTTTCGGAGGAACGTATCGCCTCCATCTTCAGGGTAGAGGAAAAAATATAATAAATCTGCAAGCGAAGAGACCGTGAGAACAGGCTTTTACCGGTTCTCACGGTCTCCTCCCTTGCAGATTCTTATATTTTTTCCTCTACCCTGAAGATGGAGGCGATACGTTCCTCTGAAACGTCGGTTAACACCGCATATACACGGTGCCAAATCCCAGAAGACTGCTTTCTTCAAAGTCAGTCTTGTTAAACATTGTAGTGGAGCATCATGTTCTAATACATATGTGGTGGTGTTCCATCAACATGACATACATATAATAATAAATACACAATACATACATTTATAATTATTATTATTATTATATATGTATGGGGTTGACATAACTACCCACAATTAGCCATGTGAAATGTATGGCTTTCATGGTGTTGACTATGGATAATATTATGTTCTAGGATGTGACACCATGCAGACTGTTAACATTTCACCAATGCGTTGGAGGAGCGTCAGTAACTTTCTATCAGACTACACATATTACATTCCAGAAGACAGTTTACTCGAAAGTTATTCCTTATTCCATCAAATTCTCCATAAGCATAATTACCGGTACAGGTACAATAGGACATATGGAAGCCAACGTGCCGAGGGGACCTAATATGGATTCCACCTCACACTATACGAACTCTAAATATTGTAATCTACTTTAATCTATTGTAAACTACTTCTTATTGTAATCCGCCAATGTACAGTAACTGACTTGTCCTATATCATGTAACAATGATCTAGAGAGGCAAAATAAATAAATAAAAAATAAATATCATCATATCAAGGTACTGTAAAGATACATAAAGAATTATAAACGTAAACTAACCGCTGAGGGTCATCACTGCTGTTCAGACCGACACGCTGTTCTTCAACTGTTATTTCTGTCTCATGAACTTCTTCCTTCACTTTGTCAATCTCACATACCTCTTCCTTGCTATTCGGAGGAAAATCCTGTCAGAAAACAAGAAGTGATAAAAAGATATCTTTTCCCACTGGTTCAATGGAAATTATAAGCTGTAATTCAATTCAATTTATTTAAACATTCCATTGATCCTTAGTGGTACAATAATGACCAGTAGATGTGGAATTAGTCACAGACAAAACCAGACAAGTTGCATCACATTAACAAGATATGAATATAAACACATCAATAATTCATCTCCACAATACAGTGTCTCAGACATTGGTCTAATATCTAAAAGCAGATTATTTATTAGAACACACATCAATTATTACTTACAAACAATTCCCAGACAACAGGTCATAGATGCCTGCACACAGGACACAGATGGAACAACTTGTGTACATCGTATGACAGCTATATGTTAAAAATGTTAAAACTAATACACTGATAGTACTAAGATGTGATAAATATATATGAGCAGATTATAAGTATCATAAAAAATTTTACTTAATAGGGAGTATAACCCAGGTGTTTAGTTTACTTTACAGTTAAAATATTCATCCAAGGAATAAAACGAATTGGAAAGAAGAAACCTTTTTAGCATCAGTTTGAAGAGTTTCATTTCATTACTCAGACTTTTTATATGAGGTGGATTATAAGCTCTGATACCAGAGTAGTAGGGTTCTTTTTGGAACTCTGTCAAATGTGATGTAGGAAGCTGCAAGTTTGTGCTATGTCTAGTACTGAAGCTATGAATCTCATGATTCGATTTGTACAGATCTTTATTTTTTATGACAAACAGTATTATCGAGTGTATATATTGTGAATATATTGGCAATATATTTAATTTTTTAAACAGATCCCTACAGGAGTCTCTAGTTTTTGCATTCATAACTCTAATTATCCGCTTTTGTATCCTAAAGACATTGATACTGTTAGACATATTACCCAAAGAAAATTATACCATATTCCATAATAGAATGCACATAGGAGAAATAAATCATCTTAAGGGTTTCTTGTGACATAAAACCTTTTGCCGTCCTAACAGCATAACAAGCTGAACTCATTTTAGTTACTAATTGGTCAATATGAAGTTTCCATGATAATGTAAGAATGATGACAAAACCCAAAAACCAAAATATGCAATAAAAGAGATAAAGTTATGTCATTTAAAATAAGCATATTATGCACAGCATACTAAGTACAAAAATAAATAATTTTATTTAGTGTATAAAAATGTTAAGCATACACAATATCACAATTAACATTCCTCCTCCAGTCAGAGACCCAATTATACTTCTCCAATTAACATCATTCCCTATTCATTATTCACAATCACCTTCCAATTTGAAGAGTACCATCTTCTGGAACATTATGCCGTGCACTTCACTGAAAGTCAAATGACGTTTCAGAGGAACATATTGCATCCATTGACTAGATAATGCTGGGAAACACATGGAGGGGGGGGGGTGCATAATGAAAAGAGGAGAGTAACAGTTCTTGGGAGATCGCAGTGTCAGTGACCGCCTACACAACAACAATTATTTCGCAATAAAATAAAAATGACAAAAGTGTCAGAATTAATTTATCATGGCTACTCTGTACTGTTCCATGATTTGATTTTGATTAATCATCATCAGGTTGACTCAGATCCATTTTCACCTTAAGTGTTCCAACACACTCTGTCTGCCTGTCTGTCTGTCTGTCTGTCTGTCTGCTTTTACCGTGGTACCTTGGTCAGCTTCTTCAACCCTGAAGAGTACCAGGAATCTTCCTGGGGGGTAAGGGGCAGCCGGAGCGTAAGGCTGACAACCTTAACACCTTCTGGGAGCCGATTTTCTAGATAATGTGGGAACCTCAACGTCTCACAACCTTATGGGCCTCCATGGCTTGTTACAGGGGTATCTTTACCTTTTATTATCTTAATTAATTTAACTATTTTAGGTTTTACCAGTTTATATATTTTACATATTTATATTGCTTTATCTTATGGTGGCAATTAAATGTTCCAGGATAAATTTTGAGATTTTAAGGAACCAGTCTACTGCCTCCTTGACAGTTTCTCAAGTTTGTTTTTCATGATTTATCTTAATATTATACTCCCACCTACATCTTGGTCTTCCTAGTGGTCTCGTTCCTTCCCACCAAAACCCTACATACATTCCTCTTCTGCCCCATGCGGGATGCATTCATCCCTCTTAGGTCCAAATATTCTCTTACACACCCTGGTCTAAAATACCTTCAGTCTGTTCTGCCAACAATTTCAGAGACCAAGTTTTCACACCCATACAAAACTAAAGACAAAACTACAGTTATGAGTATTTTACTTTTTCAATTTCAGATAGCATCTAAGAAGACAAAACGTTCTGAATTGAATGGTAGCATTACCTGAATTTAACCTACCTCTCGCTTTAATAGCAACTGTCTGAGGGATACATCACTAATCTCGCACTGCAACCTGAAGTTGTAGCTTGCATTTACCTGGTGAACACATTCACAGCACACCTTGTCTGGCAGTTCATCACCAACACATAACTGTAAAATTATTAAACAATTACGATATCCCAAGGCATACATTCATGAAGATAAATTTTAAAATGCTTACTGTAACTTTCACTGTGGTCGCGGTGCAAGGGCCAATAGGGCCCACCCCTTATACATTCTTTCATTCATACTGTAACTTTCTAACAAAACTTACTTTACTCATAACCTACAATATCTCACAAAAGTTCTGGGACATCTGTTTAGCCCATAGCTCTCCTTCCTAGTTGGGTCTGGTTACAATAATATAATAACACCATGCACTTCGATCGTGTTACGTAATTTGTATTAGTGAATTAAATAAACTAGGATTCTACAGACCCGACATCAATAAAAATAACTGCTTATATCTACCTCACTTACTTTCAGACCTGGTGACAGAGACATCACTCTTTCGGGGAGATTTTCGTCTTGACAGAACAGGGGCAGTAATTTTTCAGCCTCCTTCATACAAAGACGACATATTGTACCAAAATTCACTGACATGTTTTCATAATTTTATACACACAACTATCAAACACATGGCTCAACCGCACGACCGCACGACTATTGTGGTAAAAAAAGTTCGATTTTCGAAGGAACGGCAACCGGAATTGAAAGCAAAACATAAATTTCCCGCTTATGTAGCATTTGAAACGTTCTAACCAAGAGGAAAAGTCTCAACGAAACGCAATTTAGGGCATAATTAACACAACCCCACAAAGAAAAGAAAAACAAACTGATATCCGCGCGCGTATTTACCAGCAAAAATGGAGGTAAAGGGGTGGTTAAGAAAAAATAAATCGGAACGAAGTTTATCACGTCATGATGATTACTCATGAGCTGTTCAGATAATGTGAGGGAAATGTAGTCATTTGTATTTTCGATACAGTAACCCATATAGGTACAAATATTGCTTTTTTTTGGACATTACTCATCGTCTTATCTTTATGTGACATGTTTTATATCCAGCCCTAAAGGGAGATGATTGGACCCATGAAGTGAAAAATAAATGTAAATGTAAATCTAAAAACTGCCCTTTTTATTTTTATATACTCACATGTACTAAAGATGTAGCTGTTAGTATGGTTAGTGACACCAGCTCTTCCCAGAACTTCGAACACAAAACTAAGAAACAAATTAACATCAACTATTAAGCACAATAGATCATTGAAGGTCGCAGTGCAGGGGCAGTTTTTATGGCCCATCCCTTACATACAACATCAACTATTTCTTTTATCATGCATTTCTCACTTTCAAGTCTAAGAACACTGATTAGATAGCTGCATATGCAATTAGTCTTCACTGGGCACATCTTCCTGCAAAATGCTGCAATTGGAAAAACTGCCAAATTCGAAAGGAATGAAATTGACTGGAACTATATAATGTACTGCAAATATTTGCTATTTGCACATATATGTGTAAGGGTGGGTCATAGCAATTTGGCCCTTGCACTGCGACCTTCACTGACCTATTGTGCTTCCCCTTTGATTAACCCTTTATTAATCCTACACTTTGGATGAAAAGTAGCACCTTATTTATGGGGGCGTCACATTAGTCACTTGGTTCCATGAAATACTGGCCTGCGTGACAAAATCTTAAATAAGCTATGGCCTCACAATCACATAAGATATGTGTAGCTGATTCAACCTCTTCTAGGCACCTTAAACAAGTGGGATAAAGCTATTTGAACAAACAATATTACTTACATAATGGGCTATTTTTCTTGAGGACATAATTTATTCTGGCATAATTTTTCCAACTTGAACATAATATTCATATCATGGTTATATATACAAAAATTGCCTAAAACATTTAACAAATCTTGTCTTACCAACACTTTTAATATATTGTGACATGTTGTGCAATGGAGGACAAACCCTCCCTCCCCCCGCAGTGACATGACTTGGTCCTATAAGTCTTAATGCTTCATTTTAACACTTGTCGCCTTCAAAGTGTGTATGTACATTTCTGTATAGTTACAAGAGCAAGACTACAGTGATGTCATCACATCACAACTAAGGTGTCTGTGTATACAATTCTGAGTATATTATACTGTGTCTAAAACATCTTTGAGGTTGCATCATCATTAAAAAGTTATTAGATTCTATTTTCAGCACAATATGTGTACAAGGATCACCAAACAAAAGGTATGGGTGAATACACAGAGGTCTTCTTTTCTCTAAGTTTGCATACTTAAAGTACAAATGATTCTCAGAAATATTTTAGTGGCAATTTCTATCACAAGAACGCAGAGTAGGCCCCAGAAGATTAATACCAGTAAAAATAAAGTAGTCCCTATACTTAATTAAATGTTACACTATGAAGGGAGAGGGGGGAGTTTGGTATAGCTCCATACATTCATTTGTATCTTGCAATAGATGCAGGGAATCTTCACACCCTGGCCACTACCTGTACTAATTTACCAGTATAAGACAAGATAAGGATGAAGAGCACCATCTTCTGGCATATGCCCCCATGTGACCTACCAGACTACACAGTGTCATATCCCAGAAGATGGTACTCTTCACAATAACTGCTGTGTGAACTTTAAATCCAACAAGAATATTTTCATGTTTGATGACTGTATAAGTGTTTATGGATGCTGTCAGTATCAAGACTGTACAGTGTCAGATGGCTGAATGATTAATGAATGTGGAACAACTGGTGGATTTGAACTGACACACTTGTAGATGGAAATGAACCAAGTACTTTATTCTGACATACCCTGCATATAACACAAATTTCAGCTGAATATAGAAAAGAATAAAAAAGAAGCCTATGCAAAGTGATCATATTTGTTAAACTAAGAATGATATATAATATATGAACAGTATACAAAACCATATATCACAAATCCACGATATATATATATATATATATATATATATATATATATATATATGGGCTTCATTTGTTTGAAATTTCTGTTCCTGAGAAGTCATCAAAGTTGAGAATCACATCCGTAAATATACATAACAGAAAACTATGAAATATCATAACAGCACACAAAAAGACGCTGATTGTTAAGTCATGAATTTATTTTCTGTTTCCCATGTGTGCTGTTCAAATGATACTTCAAATGTTCCCTCCTTACAAATCCCTTTTTACAATTCTGACATGAAAAAGGCCTTGTACCATAATGAGATGAGAGATGGTCTTTCAAACGATCTTTTCTAGCAAATGTTTTACCACACTCTGTGCATGTAAAAGGTTTAATATCTGTGTGTGTTGTTACATGAACTTTTAGTTGAGAGCTCCTTGCAAAGCCTTTACCACATGATGGGCACAGATGTGGTCTGTGCCCAGTATGCATCAACATATGCTTCTGTAGTCCATCTTTACGCCCAAATGACTTGTCACATTCTGAACAGCTGAAAGGCCTCTCCCCTGTATGACAAATCAGATGCATCTGCAAGTGTCTTATCCTTGCAAATCTCTTTCCACACTGGACACAAGAGTGTGGCCGTTCTCCTGTGTGAGTTTTCATATGAGTTGACAAATTACTTCTCTGTGCAAAACGGGATCCGCACTCTTCACAGGAATATGGTTTTTCTCCTGTATGGAGCATAAAATGGCTCTTCATATAGTTCTTAACAGAAAATCTCTTCCCACAAATATGGCAACCATATGGACGTTCTCCTGTATGAACTACCATATGACGTTTAAGATTTCTTCTAATGCGAAAGAGTCGTCCACAGACATCACATACAAAATTCTTTTTATCTGTTTCAGTAAATTCTATATGAGACTTCATGTGTTTTTTTAATTCTATGCTCAGTGCAAAACTTTTATCACATTCCTTGCAGAAATACTGGTTACCCCTTGTGTGTATTTTATGGTGTATTTTTAATGTGTGCTTTAATGCACACTGCTTTCCACAAATATCACAAGTGTATGATTCAGTTCCCATATGTAACAACATGTGGCGATTGAGATTTGTGTGATATATAAATTGCTTTCCACACTCGCTACACGTATGTTTCTTTCTTGAAGCCTTAACATGACATAAACCTCTCTCATTAGGGCTCAAAGAAGAGACTTGAATTTTCCTCGATGTAGTTTTGCACTCTTGATCAACATCATGATGCTGCCCAACAGCAATCTTTTCAGCATTAACTGTTTCCTTGTTGAAGATACTAAGGAGTGGAATTCGGTTTATGTCATTTAGGAGAGGACTATTGCCTGCGTCATATCTGTTGAAGCCACCATTTATCCTGGAAACATAGGAATCACAGTCTCAGTAGTAGTAATAGTAGTAGTAGTAGTAGTGGTGGTGGTGGTGGTGGTAGTAGCAGCAATAGTAATAACAATAATACTCACAACCACAGTAATAATGGCAGTAGCAGCAAGAGTAGCAATAATAGCAGCACTTGAACAAACACTCATTTATTTTCAAATTTAATCTTAGTTTTTAAACAATGCCTCAAACACAGACAAAATATTAACGTTTTCCACCCACTTTTATCAACAAAGATGGGAAAATACATTATTAGTATTTTCATTATCATGTGTCATGAATTAAATCTGTTTCATACTAAAGAAATGAAAAAGAGATGTAGAGAGATGACAGTAAGGAAGAGGGGAGGAGATGAAATATGACGAAATGAGTAGGAAGGAGGGAAGTGAAGAGAAGCGATTAAATAGGAATGAATACAGAATACCAAAACATAAACTTACTCATGGCTGTCATCATCAAATCCTAAGTTGTTATCATCAACAGTAATTTGATCATCAGATTCCTCTTTCACAGAGGTAACTTCACAGATTTCATCCTGTAACTAACAAGCAATTACAATGAAGACTCAGTTTATAATCTCTTGCACAGATTGTCCCAAAATTCTGCATTTATGACTGTATGTAATTTATATCGGTCTGTACGTAACTGTATTTTATATGTGGCATAGCAGTGAAATTTGATGATTTTCAAAGCACTACTGTAGCTGAGTGAATAAAGTGCTACTGTCCTCCAATCTATGACTGTTTCTGACACTTCAGTCATGAGAGAACATGACTAAATGGCTGCTGACACAAAGTGTGTTCACAATTACAACAGTTACTGAATGTAATCTAAAGAAGATTTAGGCATGCATTTCATGTTGAGAGGCATGATTTGAGGTGGTAACGGAAAGTACCTGAACTCTTATTGTCGTAACTGCCTCGGTGAAAGAAAATGAGAGGGGAGGCCAAGGTAACACTTCCACAAGCCTATTCCATCAGTCTGCCACATGACACCATGCTGTGAACACACACTGTTTTCACATGAGAGCTTTTTAAACTTCTTGTTTTATTCTGTCTGTGATGGATGGCAAAATCGAGCAATGTGTCTGCATCAAGTTTTGCGTGAAGCTCAGTAAATCCGCTACCAAAACCCTCAGAATGCTTTGTGAGGCTTCTGGAGAACATTCTTTAAACCAGACAGTGGTTTTTGAATGGCATTCATATTTCAGGGCCAGTCAAGTGTCAGCTGAAGATGACAAATGTTCAAGGAGACCAAGCACCAGCAAAATTAGAGAAAATGTTTAAAAAATTCGAGAACTCATCAACAAAGACTGTTGCCAAACAATCCATGAGCTCACAGACACCGTTGGCATCAGTTATGGACTTTGCCAGGAGATCTTAACAGAAAATTTGAATATGCATGACATTGCTCCTTCATCACAACATCCCCACCCACACGTCCCTGAAAACCACAGAATTTGTGACTAACAACAATATGGTTATTGTTCCCTATCCTCCCTACTCACTGGACTTGGCCCCTTGTGATTTTGCTTTGTTTCCCAAATCGAAAACGAAACTGAAGTGACGACGTTTTGATACAGTGTCTGACATCCAAAGGGAATTGCAAGTGGTAAGGAAAATGACTTCCATGGTGCCTTTAAAGCATGGAAAAAACGATGGGATGGCTGTGTACATTCTCAAGGAGACTATTCTGAAGGAGATGGCAGCCAAAATTGAGTAAGTTAAGCCAGAATTTCTCTTTTGACCGAGTCCAGGAATTTCAAATACATCTCATATATTTAAAAACCATTTTTAAGAAATGAATTACATCTAACACATCACATTATAGTATTGCTTTTCCTGTGAACTGTATTTTTATTCAACTTAAATTCAACAACACTTTAAAAATCGTCATATTTCACTACTGCACTCTGTATTAGTATTTTTCATTATGAAGTGCCAACTGATGAACCATGCAAATTGTCTACCCCACCTTAAGATGTACATATTTTTATTGTTGTTTACTGACTTTAAATCACCTGCATAGGTAGAGTGAGTTGAACAAGATAGGAACGTAATCAAGAATGGTAACCAGGTAAGGACTTCACAGTCATGGCCTATTTTAAGGTATTATTCCAGTATTTACCTGATGACAAAGATAAATCACAAAACTGAATCAAAACATGAGATTTGAAGTTCTAATGGCAGAAGATGAAGACCACTATATTCTTGGATGTGACACCATGCACACAGGTAGACACTGACCAATATTTTGGAGGAATACAGTGCGTACAATCAAGTGCGCGCCGCGGCTGCAATTTGCCGTGAGTCATACCACCGCAGAACGGATGCCACTCCTCCCCGCGACTGCAGTGCTCCTACGCCGATGGTTGCATAATCGGAACCCGAGGTTGCATTAAACAGTCAGTCTTTGTCTTGCTGTGGAAGTGGAGTGGAATGTTTACAGCTGTCGACAGACGGTGGAAATGAAGTTCACTATTAAACAGCGTGTGTTTATTGTCGAAACTATTGCAAGGAAAAACATTTACAGAAAATTCGCACGTAGGTTTCGTCAGAAATATCCTGACTCGCCAGTTCCCACAAAGTCGTGTGTAAACAGGCTTCTGAAAAAGTGGCGGGCCACAGGTTCAGTGAGTGACAAGAAGAAGCAATCGAAGAGAACTGTGCTGACTGAAGAAAAGGTTAAGGATATTCAGGCAAGATTACAGATCAGTCCTCGAAAATCGTTAAGACGCTTAGCACAGGAAACTGGTGTTTCGCTAGGATCTGCTCGCACAGCCACAAAGTTAATCAAATTTCGCCCGTATAAAGTAACAGTTGTGCATGAGCTGAAAGAACCAGATCATGCAGCAAGAATTCGTTTTTGCAACTGGCTGCTGCAAAATGTACACGATGGAATAGTGGATCCTCAGCTTCTATTCATGACTGATGAAGCGTGGTTCCACGTTGGTGGCCACGTCAATGCACAAAACGTAAGAATATGGAGCAATGAAAATCCTCACGCTATACAGCAAGTGCCATTACATAGTGAAAAGGTGGGTGTGTGGTGTGCTGTAAGCCCGCGGCGAATCATTGGCCCCATATTTTTCCACGATACCGTGAACTCTGATCGGTACATTAATGACATACTGAATCCCTTCTTCGATCAGTTGAATGCCGAAGAAAGACAATACGGGTATTTTCAGCAGGACAACGCTACAGCACATACGGCTAATGCATCCATGGTCGCAATACAGGAAGTGTTTGAAGACAGAATTGTCAGTAGAGGACTGTGGCCTCCCAGATCCCCAGATCTCAGTATTTCTGATTATTATCTTTGGGGCAACCTGAAGCAAAAAGTCTACAAAAATAATCCCCGCAGCATTGATAGTCTTCAAAATGAAATTACACGCGTAATTCATTCAATTACCGTCGACGAACTGCAGAGAGTGTCGCGTAATTTATTTGTGAGATGCGCGGCATGTTTGCAAGCAGAAGGAGGTCACTTTCAGCACCTGTTATAAACCACGGTAAGTTATCTTTTTACTGTATTCTTATAAATGTGTGCATGTAGAGCAACTGATGGACGGAGACTCAGCGACACCACTACACTCACGCTATCGGGGAACGGCACTGCAGTCGCGGGGAGGAGTTGCATCCGTTCTGCGGTGGTATGACTCACGGCAAATTGCAGCCGCGGTGCGCACTTGATTGTACGCACTGTATTTTACTTCCATCTATAGCTAGGGTCTCCAAACTATGGCCCGCGGGCCACATGCAGCCTGCAATGTGATTCTATCCGGCCCACGAAAGAATTGTGGAGAAATGCGCCAACTGAACTAATTTTCCAATGAGTACTGGTAAATGTGATTCCGAGCTTATTGACCTGACATATTATACTGCAGTTCAATGGCTTAGCTGTGGAAAGGTTCTTTCATGTTACTTTCAGCTCAGGAATGAAATTGATATATTTCTTACCGAGAAAAACCATCACAAACCACTTTTATCAGATACCAAGGGGCTTTGGAAATTAGCATTTTTTACTGATATGGTGAACCATATGAACCATTTGAATTTAAAGTTGCAGGGTGAAAATAACTTAGTCTGTGATTTATTTGCACTTATCAAGGCATTCAGAGTAAAGTTGATACTTCTGGAAAGCCAAGTGAAAAATTGTAACTTTGTTCATATGCTATACTGTGCAGAGTTGCATAAAAAGGATGAAGCAGAATTTCCTTCCTCGTTTGCAAATTTAGTCATTTCAGATTTGAAGGAACAATTTTGGAAGCGAATTCCTGATTTGGATTCTAGTGCTCAGGAAATTAGATTGTTTCAAAATCCGTTTGACTGTGATGCTGCAGATGTCCCAAGTCAAATTCAAATGGAAATTATTTAACTTCAGGACAATTATCATATTAAAGACAAATACAAGGAAGGAAATTTGATCAAATTTTATAAATTTCTGAACTCTGAGCAATTTACAAATTTAAAGAAATCTGCTTGTAAATTTATCTCCATTCTTGGGACGACATATCTGTGTGAACAAACTTTTTCCCAGATAAAGTACATCAAGTCGAAATACAGGGCAAATTTGTCCGATGAACATTTAAAGTCACTACTTGTGATTAGCGTTTCAAACTTTGAACCTCAATTTAATCAGATTTTAAGAATGCAAAAAGAGTTCCATCATTCACATTAATTGTTTTATTATAATTTGTGATAAAAACACATATGAGCATTTGCTGCTACTGTCATCATTAATATATGATAATTTATTCTCATGTACTTTGTATTTAGTTTTTGAAATTTTGTGCTTTCAATAGAACTCATATACCTAGAGTTATTAATTTCTCATTTTATCCGGCCCGTTGAAAGTGCTGAATTACCTAATGTGGCTCGTGGTTCAAAAAGTTTGGAGACCCCTGATCTGTAGGATACACTTCTACCCTGAAGAGGAATGTAGCATGTACCTCCACAAGGTCAACAAGCATCTACCAGACTACATGGTATCACATCCCAGACAATAGTAGGAACTACTATTTACCTTGAAAATGGTGGCAGCACATTCTTCCAAAATATCAGTGAACATATACCAGAACAAACAGTGACTAATCCCAGAAGACCTTCTGAGGCAAAATAGCTGATAAAACACCTAAGATTTGAACTGAATATCTCAAGAATACCTGTCCAGTACTAGAATATTTCACTGCTTTTCACAGCCTCTCCTGACATATGTGAAAAATTAACCTTGAATTGTACCATATGTATTTCTTCATCAATCTTTTCCATTTTGATGTGCATAATCATTCCCATATTTCACTTGTCATTAGATAACTTCTGCAGTTGACAATGCAGTTTTAAGTAACCTAATAGCCCACATATTTTTAAAGTTTCAACACAACACAAATAATATATGAGAAAAGATACTTTCCTAGTTCAATGCTAAACAGAATTAAATACAACTACCTGTCTCTCTTGGAAGTTTAGGAGTTGTCTGAGGGTTACATCACTAGATTCACATTGCAACTTGAAGCTGTAGCTTGTGTTCACTTGATGCACACATGTGGGACACACTTGGGTTGGCAGACCATCCTCAACATTCATCTGCACATTAAGATGTTACTTCTGTAGCTGTTCTTTACATTGGGGTTGATCTGATGGATGGGACCTCTAGATATATACATAGTAAAAAGGTTAAACTATGTCTACAAATACTAACCTTCAGTATGGGTACAAGTGTCAGTAATCTGTCAATTAGATTGTCATCGTGTAGAAAGAGTGGTAACAACTGTGTATCTTCTACCATACACAGTCGACATATTTTATTAAAGTTGAGGGTCATAGTGGTATTTGCCCCTTCTATCTTAAAACATACATTTCCACAACCATGAACCCCACTGAGTTTCAAAACGCTTATATCTCACTTTCCTACATATGAAAGGTAACAGCTGACAGAAAACTTTCACAAAATTACATTCAAGTTATGTATATTCCACGTTCCTCTCTAGCAAATTAACCTCACTTTTATTCAGATTGTAAGCACTTTATATAAAATTAGAATTAATACACATCCAACCTTTCATTTTTAAAGTTAACCTAATACATAGTTCTAATATAAAAAATTATGTTGCCATGTATCTAATACATAGTGAGCAAATTAAATTATCAAAACTTGAAACGCGGCTAACACTCAAAAAAAGGACATTCAATCTCCGCAACTTCCCATTGTATCTTGAAATTTCCCTTTTGCAGTTAAAATTTCTCTACCTACAAACACCCTTGAAAATGTCCGAAAAGTTTCTGTATACTTACTTACTCACTCACTCATGGGCCCGAGCCCTTCTGAAGGAGCCGCCAATTCTGCAGCTACTCGAGAATTTCCCAGCATTTTATGGAACCCGAAGGTTCATTACCGTGTTCACAGGAGCCCTCCACTGATCCCTACCATGAGCCAGATCAATTTTAATAATGTCCACCCACTTATGCCTTGGTTTCCCAGTAGTCTCTTTCCTTCTAGCTTTCCCACCAGTATCCTATGTACATACATTCCTCTTCTCCCCCATTTGTGCTACATGCCCTGCCCAACTCATCCTCCTTGACTTGATCATTCTAATTATGCTTCGGAGAAGAGTACAAGTTATGAGGATCTTCATTTTGCAGTTCAGTCCAAATATTCTCAATACCCTGTTCTCTAACACACTCAGTCTATGTCCCTCCCTTCATGTCTGAGACCAAGTTTTACACCCATACAGAATCACAGGCAAAATTATAGTTTTGTTATAGTTGTATATTCTAATTTTTATGTTTTTGGACAGCAGACGAGAAGACAAAATGTTCTGGACCGAATGGTAGCAAGCATTAACCTAGTTCAATCTCCTCTTAATTTCCTCCTTAATCAAGTTTCGATCTGTTATCGTTGTTCCCAAATATCTGAACTGTGACACATTTTCAAAACATCTGTTTCCTATCTTTATGTCACGATTCTGCCTTGCATTTTGGTTACTTCTAGACCAACCTTCTTACTTGCACCAATTAAAGTTTGCATGTTTTTCTTTATGGTATCTATATTGTCACCCTGTAGATTCACATCGGCATAGACAAACAGCTGGTTTCTGTAGATTAGATATTTTATTTTGCTTAATTGTGGCATACACCAATGTACGGGAATAGAAATGTTACTGTCAGTGTTCACCATTTTAAAGCATTAGCAGTATTTCTGTGCTGATCACAGTGGTCACAAGGTCTAGGGCATGAACCGTGTTTGCCTGCTTGAAAACCGGACTCCTGGGTTCGAATCCCACTTGTGGTGTCGATGTCTGTGCGCGTTTATTCTGTGTAGGTAGTGGCTTTGCGACAGGTTGACCACCCTGTCCAAGGAGTCGTACCGACTGTGTATAGATTAAGAAAATGAATAAGCAACTAAGGTCCACAAGGGCTGTAGAGCCATAAATAGTATTTCTGTATTTACTTTATGCACTATTGATACACATGATAAATGCTTTTATTCGGCCAACACTGAGAATCCTTATATTCAAAATGGTATTGCATTTAATTGGGCAATAGTTGAACAAAACCTCTTGCAGACACAAGTAAATTTTTGAATATAGTTACTGGTCATGGCCATGCTGTTCTAGAGCAGTTATTCAGCTTTCCACGAAATTAACAACAGCTTTTTTTGAGTTCACTATTATTTCACCCAGGGGTCAGGATGGCTCAGTTGGTACAGTAACCAGCTGGCTGGGCACGGTTTTCTCTACTCTACAGTGTCCAGACTGGCTGTGGTGCCCACCCAGCAGGAGTTATTTCCTGGCTGTACAGCAGCAGGAGTGTAAGTTAAATACTAACTAATGTTGTATCATTAATGTATAGAATATAACAAACAAAATGTTGATATAAATATTAAATTATGGAAAACAAGAATTTGTCAATGTCACTTTACCACTAATATCTATTAAGAAATCTTTAGCTGTACCACACCCTGTTCCACATACTATGGTCATTTCTTACTAACTCTGGATCCATGAAATGTTATATATGAACATATATATAAGTTAAAATAACAAATAAAATCTTTACATAATTAAATTATAAAAGTTATCTTAAGAACTGTTACGCATGGGAAAACCTCTTTTAAGTCTCCTAATCACAAATCCAAAAAGTCACATAAACATTATTTAGTACTGCTTGATGTTCATCATCTCATATTGCTTTGTATTCTTAGTGCTACGGAGCACAATTCAACATGAAATGTTCACAGTATAAATTTACATTTGTTATTAGATACTTTGCTGTGCACAATGGAATGCAGAAACTGAACTGAAGACATAACAGAGATCATCCAGAGATATTACAAAATTTACTCCACATTCTTGCAAATATGTATGGCAGTCATGGCTGCAACAAAACTTTGTGCAATAACTCTGATACGAGTTTCTGGATGTGACTGAAATCCTCAAGACTAATCATTATTTTTATGTGAATACACTTCAAATTTTTAATTTGAGTGCCATTCCTTCTTGAAGAAAGAAATGATAACCTGGGTGAGGAAGGGGTACTTCTGTTAATATTACATGGATAATCAACAAAACAAAACTTACTGTAACATATTCTCATAAGAAACTTTCAGAAATAGATTGTCTCCTATTCAATAAGAGGGATCAATGTGATGAGTGTCATGTCTGAATACTGTATTTGTGCCACAGAGTAAGTTCCCAGATGGGCCTCACCATAGCTCAAGCGGTTAGTCGCTGGCTTCCCACCGCGGCGGCCCAGGTTTCATCCCAGGTCTGGTCAAGTGGGATTTGTGGTGGACAAAGTGGCACTGGGGCAGGTTTTCTTCGAGTACTTTTGTTTCCCTTGCCAATCTTTATTCTACCAATTGCTCCACAAACACCGTCACCTATCATCTGGGGCTGGTACAATAGGCCAGAAGTGGCCACAGTACAAGGGACTTAGTCCCACCCCACTAGCAACAAAAAATAAGTTCCCAGATGTCATAGAGCATACCACTGAGGGAACAGTGGGCAGAGTCAGATGGTCTCAGGTGTCTTCCCCTGGCATGGACTGCTGGGAGACCATAAGGTGGAGCCTGTCAGTACTTCCTAATGATGATTTAGCTCTCTCATTTCATCACATTGTGTGGCATAAATACAATATGCAGAAGCAAAACTCATAACATAAACACCTGACGATGAGAGATTCTCCAGAACGTTGTACACTAAACCAGATTGCCAAAGACTACTTCACTGCCTGAAGTCAGGATGGAAGTTTCATCATACACAGGAGAAATATTTTGACAATGAAAGCTGAAGATATTCATGCTTTAGAAGTCTGCTTCTTCTGGACTGAGACCTACTAGGGCCTCGCTCTTCTCCCACAGCTTCTTGGCCAGACCCTCGTCCAACGCTGACTTTGATGCACTTGCATCCTGGTCAACAAAGGGATTAATTTTAATACCTTCCATGGAATCAGGTAACAAAAAAGTAAAGCTTAAGAGATAGCATGCACTTGCTCACAATTTTTATTTTATGGTTTCTTGTTATCTCCCACTGAACTAGCCTAGTCTAACATGTTGAAATAGCTGTGTAAATCTGACAGGACTAGTCCAGTAATTGATATTCGCTCTTTCTAAGTGGTCCAACTGAGTAGGTGTCTTCCTTCCTCACCTGAAGACGGAAACAGATCCAGTTTCTGAAACATCTTGTCTTCTAATACCTACAATTCCGGATGGAAAAAGTCCAAAAACCCAGTATTTCTGAACTTATTTTATACTCTTCATCTAAAACATCCCTGATAGTATATCATATCTCAAGTAAACAACCTTATCAAAAGAGAAGTCCTGTGTCCAATAAGCTCTCCAGTATGGCAATGTTGGTCCCCATCATATTTTTAATGCAGAATATAGTAATTTCTAATGTTGACATAACAATCTACATAAACATCTGATGATGCAACATCACAGGTGTTTTAGAAACAGTTCAACGCTCTTACCTTCACACCTTGTTTATGTCCTGGTTTGGAATTTCTGTTCCTTCCTGTAGAAATTTAGAGTTCTCAGTGTTGAATTTTAAAACTAGTCTTCTTGAATGTCACACGGTATTGTAGTATCACAGATATCTACCATACCTACCATATCTACCATGTCATATAGCATTACACTGCAGAAGACTATAATTTTATCCATTTCTGTTCACATTTCAACACTTGATCAAAACTTCATTTATCATGCAAGTTTCTGTACCTTGCAGTCTGTAAAATATTTGCCAGATACTCCTTCCACATCTTCAGAAACTGCTAGAAAGATGGAGGTTTGGGCACCTTCATGGACATCCTAAAATTAAAATATCTTAGTAGAAGAGGACTTCAACTGTAATTACCCAAATGCAAGATGCCCCCAAATCTCAGGAAATCCCCCATTAAGAAACATATATGCATATAAATCATTTCATTACTGCCTTCAGCATTTCTAGGAGTAGGGACAGATCATTTACAACAGTGACTATGCTATGGGCTGGATGACTAAGACAGCCCTTCATTTATTTAATTCTCAAAATTGGGGAGGACCCATCTTCCATTCTGGTAAATTCAGAGTATTACATAACAGCACTCTTCAAATAACAATGTTTCTGAGACAACTGTTCTATTGAAAATGAAAACTGAATGTAGTGTTTCCATGAGATTAAATTATAACTGACTGTAATTCAGACTTCAAATTTGAATATTTAAAGTAAAGTAAATTTCTGGCACATAAATTGTACATATTGTGACATGACGCCTGAAAGCCGGAATAATTCATTGCTAGGCAACGGCTTGGTAAACAAATTCCCATGGAAGAGAACACACGCAACAGTAGAAGAGTGGTGTTTTCTGTGGTCATCACCACTCATTGCTATGCAACGGTATGGTAAACACATCTCTGCGGCAGTGAATCAACATGCAACTACAGAGGAAGTGGTGTTTTCTGTGGGGACCACCCCGAGACCATATAATGAGGAGTTCAAAGTGAGTTGTGAAGATAACTGAGAAGCAATAGCAAGAAAGGAATTAAGCTGTGTACAGATGACTTCATAGTGTGCTGCAGTGAGACTGTTATGAATCTGTTGCCAGGATATGACTAGTAGACCGAGGACACCAGTGGGTGTACCAGAGAACTGTAAAGTGTGGAAATAGCTATAGCGCTGTGTGGGGACATCCCACATTATCACGCATTTCTGCAACGCTTGTGCTTCACATCACTTTTCACAATCACGCGCGCTAACCAATCAAATTACTCCAAACATTCGTATTTATACTGCGCTCGCTGCTAGCCCCATCTACATCATCACACACACTAGCCAATCAATTCTTCCTCCTCAATTTCAAGTTTCGCTCCGCCCACCGAGCAGTGTATAAAAAGGCGCAGCCTCAAACTGGCAAGTCAGTCATCAGTTGATCATCAGTCTACGATCAAGCCACAACAAGCAACATCAGCCAGCAGGCTTTGTCGCCAGCGCTCAGTCTTTGGAGGCATCGGCAGGCTGCGCCAGGCACGACTGCCTCAGCACTCCGGCTCTCTCACACCTGACTCACTGGGGCACCTCGCCTGGACTCGCCGGTGGTCGTGTCCCTGTCCGACCCACTGGGCATCTGGCGTAGTCACTGCCTCATCACTCCTATGACCGCGCTCAAAGACTAGCCTTTCACCAGCAGCCTACGACTGCGCTGTGTTAACCACGCAACTCCAACTCACCTGCCGCACGGCAACCAAGCAACCTCCAGCAACGGCCTCACTGCGGCCAGTCCACTCACCGCAACTAACCTCTCTCCCTACCGGCGTGCGCCGCGCTACCTCACCGATCAAACATCTCAGCAACCACGGTCCTTTTCAGGACCAACAAACTGTTCCGAAGAAGTGGGTTGTCATCGGAGTAATGACAAAACTACACAAGACCCCACAGCTGTAATTGCCTGTAGTTCCAAGTGGAGTGCATAACGTGTCAATAAATCCAATCATCCAATCCAAAATCCACCTATAAGTCATGCAACTGCCCCTACACATGATAATATACTGGTACAGATTAATTTCTAGCTACAGTACAAATCTACTGATGTATTACACATTTCTTTAAATGTTCCATTAAAATGTTTCTTACATACTGATCTTAACGAATGCTGTTTATTACTGGGATGTATGCAGAGGAAATTGAGCCAGGTAGCTGAGTCAGTATATTCACTAGGACAAGAGCTAGGTAGCTAGAGAATGGGGGTTTGAGTTCCAGTGAAGACTGAGATTTCTGTTTTCACCAGTGAATCCATAAAAAGTCTGAGGCCCAACCAGCCCACTATCCAGTACTTACTACTCATAACCATTTAGACCTCAAGGTTAAGAAAGACTGGAGCTACACCACCACAAGAAACCAAGGCTCAGGTGTGGCTGAGGTGTATCTGTGATCTACTAGGTGGTCGGGGACACAGGAATATTTGATTTGTTAATGCAAGTGTTCAGGCTTTGTAATTATTTTTTGTGCCATTGTTATTTATTAAACACTTACTGTAGAGATGCAACCTTTCCTTGAATAGTGCTAAGCTTGGACACCCCAGTCCATCTGGGGAATATCATGAATGTAACATGAGAACCAAGAGAAAATGTAGCATTCTCCCTTTCTGTTGTGAACAGTAAGGGGTCTAGAGAGGAGGAGCTGTTCAGCATGGCACTTAATTACAGAATTAAATACAAGACTAACATTACCTGCTTATAACAATTTAAGTGTTGACCATTAAAGCATGTTTGTTTTCATAATATGTATCACTGATGTTACATAATGGTTTGTAGTAGACTGTACATTTTATAACTCTGTTATAATTTCCCATTCTATCATTATTACTCCTTTTTATGTCTCTGTACTACCACTGAATAATGGTTGCTTTCTTCTATTGTAAAGACTGCCTTGCTGTTTATTGACCAACAGCATGACCAGTAATATTTGCCTGGTTTTCAGCGTTGAATGCAGCACGAATAGTGGACATTTCCAGATCTCTGGATTATCCATAATTTTTAAATATCTGTGCTATCTCCCACCCAACACCACAGATAATCAAGAGTTCACAGCACAGCATGATCTTACCTTGCAAAACAGTAGCAAAAAAAACTTCACAATTGGGCCAACAATTGGTCCAAAATTTCTAAAGAAATCAGAAAGTATAACACCAGGATGAAGGCTGTTCACTGTTACACCTATAAATAAACATAACATTAAATAATGATGAAGTCAGGCCAAGAGGTATCAATCATATGCAAATCACCAATAATACAGTCAACTCTCGATTATCCGGGGGCGGATTAACCGGTTTGCGGCTTAACCGGGGCTTTTTTTTTTTAAGTTTATATGTTGTTTAATATTCATTCACTTTTGTTTCACATGGTGAGTTTAACACTATTTTCGCACTAGTGTGAACCGAGCTCTGCATTATTTCGTCCCGTTATGCGAACACAATGTTCTAGGGTGGGGGTGAAAGAATGCAAGAATTTTTGGAAAGTTTCAAGGACAAATACACCGCCCCAGGTTATTTAACGGTACCATCTCAGTGTGAGAGTGCATTGTGAAAGTAAGTATCAGTTTCTTAATATAGATCTTCAAGTGCGTTAGCAAAATGTCGGGGTTTAAAAGGAAGCGTGTTGTGTTAAGTATTCAACAGAAACTTGAAATTATCAATCAGCTGGAAAAAGGAGCTGTAGTTAAACAATTAGCAATGCAATACGGTATTGGAGAACAAACTGTTCGTGATTTGAAAAAACAAAAGAATGAGTTAATTTCCTTTGCTTCGTCTTCTAATTCAAGCGGAATGAAGAAGAGAAAAACCATGAAGAAATCAACATACGATGATCTCGACAAAGCGATGCTGACCTGGTTTAATCAACTAAGGGCACAGGGAACAACAATAACAGGACCAGTTTGTGCTAAACAAGCTAAATATTTTTTCGAAGCACTTGAACTAGAAGGGAGTTTTGACGCTTCTTCCGGTTGGCTAACACGTTTCAAGCAGCGTCATGGAATACGAGAAATCAGTATTCAAGGTGAGAAATTGTCAGGGGACTTGTCAGCATCAGATCAATTTTGCACCAATTTTGATAGTTTTGTGAAAAGTGAAAATCTGCTGCCAGAACAAATCTATAATGCCGATGAAACGGGTCTTTATTGGAAATGCTTGCCAACCAGAACATTGGCATTTCAAAATGAAAGACAGGCTCCAGGTCACAAATCCAGTAAGGAGAGATTGACAGTCTTGTGCTGTTCTAATGCATCAGGAACACACAAACTAATACCAGTAGTTATCGGCAAAGCGAAAAGACCACGCTCTTTTAAAGGAACAGTAGCTTCAAGTCTGCCTATCCATTATTTTAACCAGAAAGTAGCTTGGATGAATAGAGCGATATTTAAAGAATGGTTTGATTTTAAATTCGTGCCTCAAGTTCGTGACCATCTAAAATCCCAAGGCCTACCTGAGAAAGCTGTGCTCCTCATTGACAATGCGCCCTCACATCCTAACGAAAGTCTCCTGAGGTCAGATGATGGAAATATTTTTGTGAAATATTTTCCCGCTAATGTTACCGCACTTATCCAACCAATGGATCAAGGAGTTATCTCAAGTATGAAGAGAATCTACAGATCAAATTTGCTACAAAAGTACATCGATGAAGGCAATGATCTGACGTGTTTCTGGAAGTCCTTTTCAGTATTAGATGCCATATACGAGATTTCAACAGCGTGGGATACAGTAAAGCCATCTGTATTGAAAAATTCATGGAAGAAACTGATGCCTTTCATCACTAATGAAGATGACGAAATCCATGGATTCACTGGATTCAGTGAAAATGAGATAGCCATAAAATTGACAAAAGTGGCTAACCAAGTTCATGGTGGTGAAGAAGTCAACGAGGAAAATATAAGAGAGTGGTTTAACTGTGACTCGTGTGAACCGGGCTTCGAAATGTTAAGCAGTGACGAAATCGTAACTTCAATGGGGGTGCAGCCAGAAGAGCGGGAAGAAAGTGAGAATGAGGAAGAGGTGGACAGTGTTGCCAGTAAGAAAGTATCACATGGTGCTGCGCTTAATCATTTGGAATCCTTACTAGACTATCTTGAGAGTGAAGAGGACAGTTTATTAAGTGACAAGCTAATATTACGTAGGCTTCGTACGGATATCCGTAAAAAGGAAAATGCCGCGAAAAAGCAAAAGACAGTATTAAATTATTTTAAGTGTTAAGTGTGACCGTAAAAAGTGCTGGATGTTGTTGAACAGTGATTGAAATAACTAATTCATACTGAGTGTAATGTAAAGAAAGTATTAAATAGGCCATGAGATGACATAGAAATGAGGATGAATAAATTTAAATACAGGTAGGTCTATAGTATTATGAAGGTATTAAAAGGTAAAAGGTAAAGTTGTTCCTCTGCTCAACGAATTAAGCCCTACGCCATTAAGGCGTGTGGGGGAGTGGATGTATAGATCCAAATTTTCTTGACCTCGGCACTAGTTGGAGGTGAGTGGTCAGCTTCACGCCCCGGCCGCTTTACCCCCGGGGAAAGAGCCCCCGGTACCCATTGGATAGGAGGTTGGATGGACCCCAGAGCCGGTCTGGACGATTTGGAGAAGTTAAAATTCTTGACCCTACCGGGACTCGAACTCCGACCCTTCACAGTCGTCCAGCCCGTATAATAAAATTTGGCTTAACCGGGTTTTCGATTAACCGTGACTTCCATCCCCACCATTAGCCCGGATAATCGAGAGTTGACTGTACATTATTTCTTATAGAATAACTAAGAGATTCACACTTATCTCCACAAGTCTCCCATAATCAAACAAGAGGCTATGGGAACAACTTACAGTACGTTAATTTTCGTGTTTATCGCCCTGTTGTGTTACATATAATCAATATGTTTATTGGAACCATCAACACAACAATTAATTAGCAGGTTACAGTTCAATAAATAACAGATTTCGATATTGCCACCAAACACACCTATAAAATACTGACAAATAACCTAGTAACATACAAATTACAAATTCACATATCACATCATCTCACAACTCTATTCTTAATTCTTCGAGACAAACTGTACCAAAAGAGAGCTCAACATCGCATCAACTGGGTGCGTGTTTGCAGCATGAATTCTTAGGGCACACACTCAACCAGACACACACATTCTAACACCTCCCTCCCACTCACACACAAACATCTAGACCCACACTCCGTCACATTTTACCAAAACTTTAAACAAATTTTTGTAGCTTTTTAAATTTTACAAAAAATTTCAATGACATGTGGCAATGGATCCACTGCACCACACAGGTCAGCAATGAACGTTGGTAAATTTATTTATACATGCCCGACAATGGCCGTAAGACTGAAACATGTAGTGCGAGTCATTTAAGAAATTCATTGGTATACTGAAATACATGTCGTAATCACTTATTTATTGAACCATATCCTCTTAATTATAACTGCTGTGTCGATGGTCCCAATATAGATTGTGGTGTATTTGCTCAAAGCAAGAACTGTTGAGGCTGAGAAACAGCCGTTGCTAGGTAATGACCACACGCAACAAGAGTGGAGGTGTCATGATACGTGACATGTACAACTGTTGCTATGGAGTGACTGGGTAAGCACGTAAGCGGTTATGTCACGAAACGCTTGAAGAGGCGTTGCAAGCAGCGTTCTCTGTGGGTCCACTCCGAAATTATACAACTTGACCAACTGAATTCAGTTCAGAGAGAGATTGCAGAGTAGTTCAGGAGTGTTAACCAATGGGTAACAGAAGCTGAAGAATCTCAATCGCTAAGATTCATTACCAGGAAACGTCTAGTTTAACTACTGCTCAGGAATAGCCATTGTTGAGAGCTGTCACCAAGTAAAGACTAGTGAAAGCAGACTCAGAAAACTTACTGGGGAAATCAGCAAGTGTTATAGTTATTTGCTGTTACAACCTGTAAGTGGTCAATAAATCTATTCACCAATTCAAACTCTGTCTATAGTCACTAATACATGTGACAATATAGTGACAGAACTTACAGTGCCTATTTTAATTTAAATGCTTGCACATGAATAGAAATTAGTATAATTACCTAGCAACAACTGTCAAAATCAGCAATCTATTTCTGTGCTGTGTTATTTCCACTAATATACAGTCACACTTCATGATAGCTGTCAGACACGGACTGAAAGATCTGTATCATCAAGGTGTTTGAAATTTTTACGTGTTCTTTACAAAGTGAAAAATAATTCCTTATGTGGAGGTTATGTCTGCCCATATGTCTAATATAAATCCACTGGACAGCTTTCTTTAAAATTTGATTATGGGAGACTTTCACTAGAAGTTGTTGGGCAGTTCTGATATTCAGCCCTTCTGGGCCATAACAAAATCCACTTTACTTAACGGTTGCATAATGTAGGCTGTGAAGTCAGTTCAATAAACTGTGAAAGAATGCTGTGGTGAATTCTGTGTTCTACATTACCATAGAAACTTCTCCAATCCTGTTAAGATACAAAAAATATGGAGAAGACTCATAAGCAATTGGTAATCTGTACCAAACTTTACATGTCTATATTTGGCAGTTTATTAGATATTTATATCAAATTCAAAACCAAATATAAATTTTGTACAAATGTGACATAAAGTAAGTTTAATAAATATTGCTTTTTTTTTTAAGATCTACTATCCAACATTTCATGACTATAATAAGTGGATGCATCTACCACCTCACATGTTTGCATTGCAGCCATTTTGTACTACCAAAAACTGGGAATTATAAAATAGGAAGGCAAGGAATCTGCTGATATTCACATCAAGTTTAACCTTTATGAGACAAGCAAGCATTTTTTTAGGTTTCTGCAATGTACAGTGCATTTTTTCTTAGTATAAATACAGTTTCCACTGAGTTCCAATATGGCCACCAGACATGTAATAACAGGAATTTAAAATCATTTACTTCTGACAATAAACTGTTATTCACAAATTAAAACAGGCAGTGCATCTGAAAAGCAATGAGACAATTTCTGTTGTTTCAAAAGAATATACCTTGATATATGAAGGTGTCCATATGGAATGTTCGTTCCCATTCTTCCATACCAAAGCAAGAAAGATTGGTTAGCTCTGCTTGTCTTGAGTTACAGTGTGATTTTTAAATGCATGTCACCATGTTCAGTCACAATGAAGCACTGTTATGATACTAAATTTTGTGTTATGCTTGGAAGAACTGCCCGTGAGACTTAAAGCATTAAAAAATGCTTACAGTGATGGATGTTTATCCCAAGCATAAGTTTATCACTTGTATTCTCAATTTAAAGGTCAAGAAGACTGAAGATGAGCCAAGCAGTGGTAGGCCTGTTGTGAGAAAATGGGAAATGGTTCATCACGTTCATTGTTTGGTTTCAGAAGATTGCTGCTAAGAATTAAAGGGTCAGAGCAGACTTTCATGACTGGTTTCTATTGCACGACAATGTATCTGTGTATACTGTGTTAACTATTCAAAGATTTCTTTTGCCCCCCCAAGGTTACCGAGTTCAACCCTCCCCCCTTATTCATTGCATCTGGCTATGGATGGTTTTGATCTCTTTCTGCAGTTAAAAATGAAGACGAAATGGAAGAAATTTCCTACCATACAAAACATGCAAAAGAAGGTATCCGGCCATCTCAATAACGCTGGAGGAATTTCAAGGATTGCTGTCAATGACTAAAAGAGTGATGCAACAATTTTTATACAATCCTATTGTGACTATTTTGAATGGTTTTCATAATATATTGTTTTTTCCTCACTACATTTTAGATGCAATGTGTATGAATGTCACCCCCTGCAGTGGATGACAGAACACAATGCCACAGCTGCTGCTTCAAATTATTGTTTGCACCTGATTTGTGTTCCCAGCTGTTTTGCCTTTTCTAATACCTGTTCCTTTGAGCTTCCTGGCCAGTTCATTTGACATCAGAACATTTGCCAATTTGCTGTTACAGTATATTCGATCACTTCCATATACGTTTACAGAATTAAAGTCATCCAAGTCCAATGATCCAAGTCTGTGTAATTCTGATGCCACTATTACTATTCGACTTGGAGATGATCTCTTCAGCAGATCTGAAACATCACAAACCTTTCCTGTTCTCATTAATAATCTTAATACAGTGAAACATTTATTTAATTAATCTCTCTGGAAATGGCTTCTTGCACACTAACCCTTTGTGGTCACATTTAAATACCACTGCGGTTATCTGTTGGTCTTATTTAAATACCACTGAACTGTTTAATTGCCGATCAGTGGCCGTGCAGTCTACGGCATGAAATGTCTTCAACGACTCAAACACTGGGATTGTGGGTTCAAATCCCACTCAAGGCATGGATGTTTGTCTGTGTTTGTGATGTCCTGTATAGGTATCAGCCTTGCTACGGACTGATCCCTCATCCAAGGAGTTCTACCAACTGTCTAAGATTAAGAAACTGTCTTTCCAGGACTTGTTGAATTGACATATTCTGTCCATAGAGTACCTTGCTAATAAAAATCACAAAAGTAATACAACAAATAGTTTGTTGACATCACTGCAAACAGGAAGGCTTGAATGATATACTGACACTGTTTGCCTCCCTTGGACTGACTCCAGATAGTCTATAACATTTGTAAAACAGGTGGTGAACTCAGTTCAACATAGGACCGGGACGCAGAATTTAGGGTGGAGGACTCAGTCTGGCATAGAACCACAAAGGTCTAAACTGAAGTTTTCACTAAATGTGAGTTACGCAAGATTACATCAAGAAACTATTCATCTCTGGATAAGTCCTAATGAATATAACTAATTAAAGAAACAGTTTTCTATGCAAATAAATGATATAATCGATAGCATCAAATACATTAGTAAAACAATTAATAACATATGAAATATACACAGTGCTTGTGTGTACATTATGTGGCAATCCTACTATAACAATGGAGGTCACATGGTCTTTTGAAATGTAGGTATCTACTTATCAAGAAACATAGTGTCAATTCCTTGATCATAATCTTAATATTCACTGCTATGAGAATCTCAACTTTCATGTTAAAAAAACTTATATTTTGTCACCAATCACTGTGTACAGGGCCTACTCATTTCCAGAGAAAGATTCCAGTTTAACACATGGGTCCAATAGACAGTAAAGTTTTCCATAATGTACCAGCTTCAAAAATCCTTAAATTCAAGTGCCTGAGTACAAACTTTCTGTATATTGTAAATATGCATGAATGATACAATTAAATTTTGTATCATGACACCTGAAGGAGATACTCATGAAGATGGCAAAATACCATTTATATTATTTTATGACACCTGCAACATGCCACACCCTAAGAAAGATGATGACGAACTTACCAACTAACAGACAAGTAAGGAGGAAGTGCCCAAAGTGATTCACTTGCATGCCAAGCAAGAGTCCATCATCTGTAAGTTTCTGTTCAACTCTGGTAGCTCCTGCGTTGTTAATGAGCACATCCAGATGTGGCTCGGTGTCGATAATATTGTTGGCAAATTTTCGTACTGAAGCTAAAGAACTCAAGTCCAGATGCTGCACCTCTACTTTTGCATTTCCCGTGCTAGCAATAATTTCATCTGTCACAACAACAAAAAAATGGAGAAAGTTCATATATAGACAACAAACTAACTGGAGCAGAAACCTTCATGAGAAAGTTAATCATTGCTCAACTTGTCAAGAAGTTTCAATCATTTTATTGAGTTATCATAAACATGTTTACAAAAGCCTGCCACTGCTCCCCCCCCAATCCAGGTATATACACTGCACACCTTCCCATTCTATTTCTTTAACATCCACTTTTATATTACCCTCCCACCTAGGCCTTGGTCTTCCAAGTAGTCTATTGCCTTGAAGCATTCTGACACACTTTGTATTAGTTTCTCTTTAGTCCCATAAACGCTGGATCGATAATATTAAAATGGACCTTAGTGAAATTGGATAGGGTAGAATGGACTGAATTAGCTTAACTGAAATGGAGAAAAAAATTATAATTGAAAGCTAAATGAAGAGAACACATGGGATACTTAGGAATAAACAAAATATAAAGTTAATAAAGGTTTTAGGAAAAGACTGTAAGTTGGGAACCAGATTAAATTGCAAGATCTGAGTTTCTCATGGTGGGAAGTATTCAGATAATACAGAGGGATGTAATACATACCATGTGGTTTGGTGGATAGGTATGGAGTCAGGATAGCTCAGTTGGTATAGAAATGGGCTATGGCTATGGCCCAGGTTTGATTCCCAGCAGTGCAATATTTTTCACTTCTCCAGTGTCCAGACTGAATATGGGACCCTATCCAATGGTTACCTGGGGCTCTTTCCCCTGGGATACAGCAGCAGGGACATGAAGCTGACCACTCCTCTCCATCTAGTGATGAGGTCAAGAAAGGTGGAACTATACCTCCACTCCCCAATGTCTACATGGCACAGTGCTTAACTAATTAAGTACAGGGGCAACTTTACATTTTTTTTTTTTGGTGGATAGGTACCAATGATTTGCAAGAACATGCTGCTTCCATCTTCATGGTAAAACAGGCCTTGCCTGAAGATGATGGAGGCATTTTTCCATTAAACATTGGTACCTACCTACCACACTGAATGACAGCACATCCCAGAAGACTGGTAATGTAACTTCACACTCATGATTAGTAAAGAATTTCTTGATCATCTAAATAATTACTCAGCGTCATAGAAAGGTACCATGCTATGGAGCTGGTAAGGTAATAGGCAAATTACTTACCACATGCCTTTTTCCCTTTCTCCAAATCTCGACAGCCGAGGATAACTTTAGCCCCTCTCTGAGCAAGATCACGTGCTGTCTCCTTCCCAATACCTAAACACATGATATTGTGGTGTATAGACCCTATGCTGGGCACAGAACTTGAACCAGATGAGTACAGCCATTGCTTTCCAATAGGCGGGTACACAAACACTCGATGCTAAGTAACAGTAGGCAAACACATTCTCATGGAAACAATATCTAGTCTATTGCTAGGCAACTGCACATGACAACAACAGAAGGATTGTTGGAGGTAATGTTTTCTGTTGGCTCGCCCCAAGGTTATATAACATGGACACCAGCTGAGTTTTTGGGACTTGTCGGCAGTGTTGTTGAAAGTGATGTGAAGTAGCTGGTTGGTGACTGAGAGAGTTCAATTGTCAGTTCAGTTGAAAGTCAGCCTACAAAGAGAACACTAAGAGGTTGGTGTGAAATGGCCACCAGCCTGGGACCCAGTTAGCTGAGTTATCAGTTGACAAAAGTTATGTACCGGCAGCTGTGAGAAGAGGACCTGAGAGCGGGAAGCTGAAAGAATCTCTGTGTTACATCTGTTACCCGCAGACGACTAGCAGAGACCGTACTGGACTTCTATTAGAAATTTCCAAGTGGTACCGAGTATGGACCAAACACACACAGTAATGAGCTCTGACTGTCACAACATTCCCGCTGACAATCATAAGAATATAAAAAGCATGTAACATCCTCACCTGTGTTTGCTCCAGTAACTATGACAGTTTTTCCATCTAGACGCTTCTTACTCCTGCACACACCAGTGGTTAATTTCACATACAGCTTGAATCCTGTGAATCACAATCTGTATATTAACAAATGACACGTATTCAGAATGCTTCTTCTAAAGACAGGTTTATTGTTGCCCTTATGCTCAGGTTTCAGCCTCAAAGTTCAAACATAATATTCACTGGCAGATGGCCAACTTTTAACTCCTTTCACATTCACTGGTACATGTTCTTTCCTGGTATGCACACTGGCTAAAAAAAAGTACTGCATATACTTATTAATTCTATATATAATTAATTTTAGTGTGATTGGTCGCTTGTTTTTTGGAAGACTTAACAACTGACTTTAGTTTCCAGTCTTCCACATTCCGTGGCCCATTAGCAGTGCTTCTTCAGCACTTTATCCACGTACTACAACAAACCATAGTCTTACCATCTAGTGGCAATGCTAAATAACTTCATGCAACAAGATGCATGCAAGATAAAATTAACTCTGTAAACAGACCAATTGTAATAATTTTTAGATGTCTTAATCAACGTAAATTTTAATATTGGTTAATATAACATTTATATCTATGACATGATAATAGTAGTTTCCATATGTGTTGCTAATATCCTTCTGAAGATGGTCATTTTGACTGAAACTTGTAAATTTTCTATAATTGAAGGTCTTCATAGAGAGAACATTTTGAAGGTGCAGGCATATTCTGGAGGATAACATATTAAAATATAGCACCCTCACACAAAAAAATAGGTTTAACACCTCTTCTCCAGTTTCTAATTATGAAGGCAAAACAATCAATTATGGGTGGTGCTTCACCACAATTTGAACTGAATTTACAGCATCTGATTGGCTGCATGCTCAACACTCATGTCTCATCAAACCAGATGGAAGGGCACAAAAAAATCTCAATGACCACCCAAAACTTAGAATTTAGACCGGGGCTTGAACAACTTTCAACATTCCTGACAGATGTTGCGACACAGGTGACTGCATGACATTTCAGCAAAAAACAGGATGCTATATTTCTGGCGAACTTCAAGAAACCTGATGCCTCATTTCCATTCACTGCTTTCAGAGATGAAAACACTGTAGCCTTTTCTTTCAATTAAAAAATGTTACAAGTACAACACAAATCCAATATATGCAACAGTCTTCAATATATGCCTTTACCTAAATACCTACTTCCCTATCAAACCTAGGATTAACAAAAATCAGGGTCCAGGATTTTCTCCAACAATGAAAAGAAAGTCTGGAAACTGGGCTGCAACTGCCCCATCTCATAACTGTATTTTCCCTCCACATATTTACTGTTTACCCCATTTATTACAGTGGAAGATATAAAACTTCTGGATATAAATTATCATGTTCTACCTTACAAGCTTAAGAGCTGGGATAGCGTAGTCAATGTAGAGACTGGCTGCAGGCTGGACGACCAAGGGATTGGAGTTCGAGTCCTGGTGGAGGCAAGAATTTTCACTTCTCCATGTTGTCAAGACTGGCTCTGGGGCCCACTCAGCCTCCTATTCAATGGGTACCGGGGCCTCTTTCCCCGGGGGGGGGGTAAAGCAGCAGAGGCATGAAGCTGACCACTCACCTCCAGCTAGTGCCAAGGTCAGGAAAATGTAGATCTACACATCCACTCCCCCATATGCCTTCATGGCGTAGTGCTTAATTAGTTAAACACAGGGACAATTTACCTTTTTTTTTTACCTTACCAGGCTATAATGATCTAAGTTTTACTAATGTTGGTATGTTAAAACCAGTCTAGAGGATAATAAACTTACATCAATTATAAGGGTAACTCTTACCTATAAGAAAAACTAATATGCCCCATACCAGTGGGCAATTGAAGCCACAGGACATCCTTGCGTATTTCCTTGTAACTTAATGTAACTACGCCCCAGCTCCTATGTCACTTCTTTGCTGTTGATTAAGATTTCTCTTCTTTGCAGTAGATGAAAGTTACTCTTGTCATGCATTCAGATTATCTGAAAGAGACAGAATGCTGTCTTAAAGATGTCATCTGTTATTAGTGATCAATGCCCCCTGTAAATAGATTGCCTAAAAAGTAAAGACAATCTGAATGGTTAAAATTCTAATTTGCAACCAGGTAATGCTTCTTACAATTTGTTTCAAAGTCCTCTGTCTTCCCATTTACTATCACATTTGAAAATACAGCACAGTTACAAAGCATTCCCCATGCACAAATTATAACAACAGGTTAAATACTGTATACAGAAACCCTACTAACTGCTGCATAGCAATTTTATGGTCTGTTTAGAAATAGCTAGAGCCATATACATTTATACACTAGTCAGATACTCGATTACAGTTAGTACATATAAAAGCATGGGGGGGGGCACGCGGTAGTGTAGTTGGTTAGGCACTAAGCTACAAGCTGGAAGGTTGGGGGTTCAAGTCCCAATGAGGTCACTGGATTTCTTCAATTGACCTAATTCTTCCAGCTGCACTATGGCCCTGGGGTCGACTCAGCCTCTAACAGAAATGAGTAGCAGGAATATTCTTAGAATATTCTTGGGGGTAAAGAGCGGCCAGCACATAGAGCTGACAACCTTGCCACAATCTATGTGCCAATTGTCTAGAAAATGTGGGAACCTTAACATCTCACAACCCTATGGGCCTCCAAGGATACCTTTACTTTTTACTTTTACTTATATATAAATGCACATGTACAGAATTTACAGTCAGGTAAATGATTACAGCCCAGTATAAATCTCTGTTATCTGGTATACAAACGTCTGGAATTCTCATTTAAATGGCAAAAAATTCATGTAAAATTTACCGCCTTCATAAAACTATTCAAAACCAGATGTTCTCTTTCTTTCACCTAACAGCAGTCCTTCCAGACACCACTAGCAGCCCTGCACACTGTCCTCCCTCATGCAGTAGAAAGCACTTCATTTGTCATTGTGTTACAGTATATGCACCCAAAATCCTTCACCCATCAGTCTGCTATGTCACATACAAAAACCCCAGCACAAGAATTAAAGCAAACACATGTTGTCTTGTCTTTGTATTGGGTTTCTGTAACAGATTCATGTAACCAACACATCTCATTCCCCAGACATACAAAATAACAGGTGGTTCAGTATAATTTAAATTCATCTACACAGTAAAATTTGTGAGTCAAAATTAATTCTTTCAGTGCTATTTCCAATTATTCAGTGTTGGTGGTGAACATTTCATATTGTGGTGTATAGACCAGCTTCTAGGCAACGAATGTGAAACAAACAAGAAAACAGCCATTGCTAGGTTTAGCCTCGAGAGAAGAATACTGGATAAAATTTTGTATGAAGTTGATAGCAGTGACATCCCCCGATAATTACTACAGTCAGTTTTATCACCATTCTTGTGAACTGGTACAATAATAGACTCCTTCCACTGATCAGGCAATTTTTCCTTATGCCAAATAGAAATAATTAGCTTATGGATCTTAGAACATAATATTTCACCTCCTGTTTGAATAAGTTCTGTCAGAATTTGTTCACTACCTGGTGATTTACACCTTTTCAACTTTACATTAGCACTTTCAACCTCTAAAAGGCTATGATCGGGTACTAACGGCTCAGCTGTATGGATTTCTGTCTGCCTAACATCACTGGCCCTATGTACATTCAATAAATGAGAAAAGTTCTTCTTCTCCCTATTCAAAATGTTGTTTGAATGCACAAGCAGATCACCATTCTCATCCTTCAACTTTGCTTTAGAATATGCCATTAGAAAGGTCCAGCAAAACCAGGTGGGAATGAAATTAAACGGGACACATCAGCTGTTGGTCTATGCCAATGATGTGAATCTACTGGGTGATAATATAGAGACCATAAAGAAAAACACACAAACGTTAATTGTCACAAGTAAGGAGGTTGGTCTAGAAGTAAACACAGGGAAAACTAAGTATATGCTGCTGTCTCATCACCAAAGTGCAGAGCAAAATCACGACACAGAGATACGAAACAGATGTTTCGAAAATGTGACGCAGTTCAGATATTTGGGAACGACAATAACAAATCAAAACCTGATGAAGTAAAAAAAAAAAGTAAAGCTATCCCTGTACCAGGCCGTGAAGGTCGATAGGGTTGTGAGATGTTCAGGGTCCCACATTATCTAGACAATCAGCTCAAAGATGGTGGTAAGGTTGTCAGTCTTATGCACCAGCCACGCTTTACTCCCCAGGAAAATTATTTAATTAATTCCTGGTACTCATTTCTGTTAGAGGCTGAGTGAACCCCAAGGCCATAGTGCCACTGGAAGGATTAGATCAACTGAAAAAAATCCAACGACATCATCGGGACTTGAACCCGCAACCTTCCGGCTTGTACCATAGCCCCTCAACCAACTATGCTACCGTGTGCCCCCCAATAAAACCTGATTCAGGATGAAATTAAGAGACTGAACTCAGGCAATGCTTGCTACCATTTAGTCCAGAACCTTTAGTCTTCTCATCTGCTGTCCAAAAACATAAAAATTAGAATATACAAAACTATAATTTCGCCTGTGGTTCTGTATGGGTGTGAAACTTGGTCTCTAACATTAAGGGAGGAACACAGACTGAGGGTGATTGAGAACAGGGTGTTGTGGAGAATACTTGGACCGTAGAGAGATGAAGTGACAAGAGGTTGGAGAAACTACATTATAGATTATAACATGAGGTTTTCAGGGAACATGCATGTGACCTCAATGGCCATGCCACAAAATCATTACAGGATGCCCAGAAAGATTTAATGTGCTTCATAAATGCTGACACTATACTTGGGGGTCATGGATTAGAGACTGAACTTCATGTCCTGCCCATCATCCATGGTAATGTGGTTGATACGTCTGTAATATTTCTTCACTCTAATGGTCTTCCATATCGCTGTTCCTTGAAGTCACTCTTAAGTTAATTCCTCAAGAGACTGAGCACGGTTCATCTGGAGATTGCAATTTTGAGGATGCAAGGGCCTGTATGGAACTGATGTTATAGACGACTAGAACAGATTTCAGCAACATTTTTTCAAGGTGGAGTGCACAAATTTTTGCAGTTCCCAGATAAATTTTCATACATATACGTATATACTGTTAAAGCATTTGGTTTTTGTTAACTTGTATTGTATATTGTAATAGTAACGTTATTTTTATATAACATAATCAATCAATGCACTGTGTTGCCTAGTCACACTCTTTCATGTAGGCCTAAGTCTCTGTAGCGCTATCTTCGCCAACACCAGGTAGTGGTCAGTATCACAATCTGCTGCCCTGAATGATCAGACATCAAGTATACTTCAATGCCATCTCCTGTCTATCAAAATATGGTCAATTTAACTGTGTGTCTTCCCATCAGGAGATATCCAAGTAAATTTATGAATGTTACAATATGGGAACACCGTACTTATGACAGTAAAGTTTTTCAATGTGGCAAAGTTTACTACTCTAACTACATTATCATTAATAATTTCATGAAATCTCTCATTCCCAATCGCTGGCATTGAGATATCCTAACAAAATTTTCATATGGTACTTTGGGAATTTATCAAATACATGTTCTAGTTCTATGTAGAACCTGTCCTTTATATCATCAATTTATTTTCTGTTGGGGTATGAACATTCAGAATGATGATATCATACCAGTGACCTCTTAATATTATGTATGACAGCCTATCACTAATGGAGTCTACCCTCTTAACTGCTGATGATTCTCTTATGTATGAGTGGGGGGTAAACGACTAATGCAGTATTTAAAATACAGGAAAAACGTCTAACATTTATTAAAGGAGTCAATAACAGGGTCTCTTGTAGAAGTCTGTTTGGTGATTCTAAGATTTTAAATGTAACGCTTTCTATATATTTAAGATATTGTGCTTTATAAAAAGGAATAAGATCTATATGACTCAGAATTCCGATATTCATAACACAAAAGGGAAACAGCATTTGTGTGTCCAATTATGCAGCACTGCTCATTGTCAAAAAATGTAATTGACATGGGAATAAAAATACATAACAACTTACCCTCTGAATTAAAAAGAATAGAATATATTAAGATTTTTAAAACTAATTACAAAATTATTATAAAACTGTTTTTATTCTTTACAAAAGTTGTTTAGTAACAATGATAGATGGTAGTTTGGTAACTCGGGTTAGTCTTGATATGATACAGAAGTATATAGAGGGTCTTTGGACTGTTATCTTCACTAAATGTGTTATGCTTTGTTTTACATGGCTGACTTGTGTTTTTGGTGTTTTAAGCATATTTACTGCTTAAGCACAAGAGACCACTGTAAGTCGTGGTGCAAGGGCCGAGAAGGCCCACCCCTTATACATTCATTCATATTTATTGCTTTATACTGAATTGCTGGGAGCTGTCATCCATGGTTTGTAAGCTACAGCTTGGGGTTCCTGATCAAAAAGGGATTGTATTATTCATTTGTTTGTATAAGTTTTGTACATTTCTAAGAGTTGTTGACATGTAGTGTTTGGCTGTTTTGGCTGACCTGTCCAATTGTTCCTGTGTAACACTTATGGCTGTCATATAAATTATCATTATCATTATTCACAAGAGACAAACCCATCTCTTCATCAGACTGGATGTTACATAAAGATTATTACCGCAAGGGTTCAGTTGCAAAAAGGAAACTCTGGTCATGTGTCTCAGGGAGCTTCACACCAAGATGAACTGATTGGCAGTAAACCACCAATCATAAAGTAACTGACATTTTTGGGAGCGAGTCAGCTGAAAGTCAGTCTGTGAACAGAAGACTAGGAGGTTAGGGTGAAATGGCTGCCAGCCTGGGAGATAATGAGTTGAAAGGGAATCTGTGAAGAGAAGACTTGGTCAGTGCAGTTGTAGAATCTCCACTGTTAGAAGCCACAACCAGCAAACACCTAGTGGAGACTACAACAGACTGAGAGACACTAGTCTGTGTGTTCTAGTGATTTGCAAAGTGTTGAGATCAGCGATGGTCCATAATTAAGTGTAGTTATGAGTTGTTTGTTAAAGTGGTCAATAAATCCAATCTCCAATCCAAAACCCCATCAAAAGTCATTCATACACTTGACAATATTTTGTGGGAGGTTGTCATACAGTATTATTACAGCACAGATGATTCCTTTTTGGCAGACTGTAAGTGTACGTACACACAGACAGCGGCACGGTGCGGTGTGGGGCAAGGCGGGGCAGTTTCAAGCGAGCGTGCCGCACACATAACGCGGCGCGGAGTGGTTCACAGTTGACAATATGGCGCTGTCAAAAGTAACTCGTACAGTTCTTCTCTGTGACAATCAATATTTAAAATGGAAAACTTGGAAAAAGCGTGGGAGGAGCGAATGGGTAAGTGAAGTGTGTCAAGGGAGAGGCGTTTATGGGGAGTATCATCACTTGTTTCGTGTACTAAGGAAGAACGAGTTGAAGTTTGTGCAATACACAAGGATGTCAATATCTACATTTGATTACATCCTCAGTAAAGTCCAGGATGTTTTGGAGAAACAAACAACAAACTGGAGGAAACCCATCTGCGCAGAAGAGAGGCTACTTGTGACTATCAGGTAAGACTGTTTCTACTTCCCCGCCTGTTAGAAGCGTAGTTGTAAAGGTATTATTTGGTGTGGTATTACAAAAGAATTTACTACAATTTCTCAAGCAAAAATTAGAGTTTATTAAAAAATATTGCTCATCAATGTTCTTTGCATCATTTTTAAATTTTTTAACTCAGCATGTTCATTACCACTGTTGGGTTTGGAACTCATAACCGGACGTGCTCTGCCCTTCCTGAGTGTCATTGTACTTT